TATCTGAAATAGTACTTAAGTTTTAGGCTTTTGAAAAATTCAAAGTAGAAAAAATACCACTTCCGATTATCGGGAATCGCTCAAAAGTTGATACGGATCAACGATTTTGATAAAATACTTATATATGAAATTTCATCAACCTAGCTGTAACGGTACTCAAGTAATCGTGTTTACACATACACACACACACACAGACACACAGACAGACAGACACACATACATACGGACAAGATTGCAAAATTGTGTTTTTCCGTATCAGTGAGATGTAAAACGTCGAGATTTGTAAAAATCTCTATTTTTTTTCTTTCGCACGATTACAAGACTTTCTCTATACTTCGTATATACGAGAAAGTAAAAAATAATCGTGCAATTCTTTTTTCTACGAGATTCTATTCTATTTTAAAAGTTTAAGTAATTAAAAATGGATTAAAAATCATGTCCATATCCCGAGATGTCATCCCCTGTTGTTTTATATAAGAATATTCAAGAAATTTTACGGGAGATCACTCCCGGTTTTATTAAGTACTTAATCTTTTTAAAATAGAGTAGAATCTCGTAGATAAAAAGAATAGCACACCAAGTGAACGCAAAACAAAATATGGATAACAATGCGAAATATTATTAGTACTTTATAAATTTACATGCGTTTTTTTGAGAAATCGGAAATAGCGAAAATTACTACTTCCGGTCAATGGAAATTACTCAAAATTTGGTATAAGACAGAGAATTAGATCTTTTACTTACATGTGAAAGTTCATTTATATATCTGAAATAGTACTCAAGTTATAGGCTTTTGAAAAATTGAAAGTAGAAAAAGTTCTACTTCGGGTTGTCGGAAATCGCTGAAAAGTTTATAAGGATCTACGATTTTGATATAGATTCTAATACTTATATATAAAATTTCATCAACCTAGCATTAACGGAAATCAAGTTATCGTGTTTATACACACACACAGACACACACACACACACACACACACACACAGGTATACGGAAAAGATTGCAAAACTGTTTTTCCGACACAGGGAGTTGAAAAACGTCGAGATTTGCAAAAATCTCGATTTTTTTTTTTGCACGATTACAAGACTTTCTCTATAGGCCTATTTCGTATATACGAGAAAGTAAAAAAACTAAAAGTATTAATACCCCTTCGTAACCAGTCGCTTACAACCAGTCGCCTACACCCTACCAGCTGTAACCAGTCGCCTACACCCTACCAGCTGTAACCAGTCGCCTACACCCTACCAGCTGTAACCAGTCGCCTACACCCTACCAGCTGTAACCAGTCGCCTACACCCTACCAGCGGTAACCAGTCGCCTACACCCTACCAGCTGTAACCAGTCGCCTAAAACCTACCACCTGTAACCAGTCGCCTACACCCTACCAGCTGTAACCAGTCGCCTACACCCTACCAGCTGTAACCAGTCGCCTACACTCTACCAGCTGTAACCAGTCGCCTACACTCTACCAGCTGTAACCAGTCGCCTACACCCTACCAGCTGTAACCAGTCGCCTACACCCTACCAGCTGTAACCAGTCGCCTACACCCTACCAGCTGTAACCAGTCGCCTACACCCTACCAGCTGTAACCAGTCGCCTACACCATACCAGCTGTAACCAGTCGCCTACACTCTACCAACTGTAACCAGTCGCCTAAAACCTACCATATAATTGTGTTTTAAAGATATCAATCCACAAATAGCAATGGGGATATATAAAAGCTTACAAAAATATAATAATGTAACAATAAGCTATTAGGGGAAAATATTAAGTTTTAAACTCTAATTGAAACAAAGGGGAGGTAAAAAGTTCTGCTTGCTCTTTTCATTGACGTCCGTAAACTGTCATTACGGGTGGCTGCTTTCATGGGGGCGGGGGGGGGGGGGGGGGGAAGAGGGTGGGGATAATCGTCCTTCAAAAGCTACTGATAGTGTTTTAAAGCAAAATATTTTCAGACGCAGCATTAGTAGTGTCGAATTCCTAATTTATGAATAAATGAAAAGTAGAAAATAAAGCGGTTCGTACGGGTTGGCTAGTTGAAAGTTAAACACCTTATAAACCTTACCTCAATCCTAATACTAATACTTACTATACACATACACATACACATACACATACACATACACATACACATACACATACACATACACATACACATACACATACACATACACATACACATACACATACACATACACATACACATACACATACACATACACATACACATACACATACACATACACATACACATACACATACACATACACATACACATACACATACACATACACATACACATACACATACACATACACATACACATACACATACACATACACATACACATACACATACACATACACATACACATACACATACACATACACATACACATACACATACACATACACATACACATACACATACACATACACATACACATACACATACACATACACATACACATACACATACACATACACATACACATACACATACACATACACATACACATACACATACACATACACATACACATACACATACACATACACATACACATACACATACACATACACATACACATACACATACACATACACATACACATACACATACACATATACATATACATATACATATACATATATATATATACAATACTTTTCCGAAAATTCACTCTAAAATTAGACATTTAAAATAACCGGTTTTTTTTTCCATTATCAATGACGTCAGTATTGTTATGTATTATTTTCGGCGTTTGATTCTCAATTCTATGTTTTAAATCAATGACGCCATTATATTTTTGAATAATCGCGAAATTTGTACATTACCACAATACTTTATACTTTATATGGTACCTTGATCAACACCCCAAAGCGTTGCAACTAAGCTCAAACTTGACAACTGTGGCATTCAGATTTTCTTTCAGTCATTTCTTCGGGGTATAGTCTAGGGTTAGGGTAGAACGTGTTTTCTATTCTAAATTATCTTTAGGGGTACAAATTACCTTTTTATTAAACATCTACTGTAAAATAAGGTGCGCAAGAAGATTTTTAAAATTTGACAACACTTTAAGGGTAATTTTTCATCCTTTAACAAAAGCTGCTGTCATATTTTATGTGGTCGAGACACTGTCAGTGCAAGTCAAAAGACCAGACTTTGGAAACAAACGACCAGTACATAAAAATGTCTTAGCGTTAGATTAATGACTCTTTCTTGTCATGAGGCCTGGACAGGGTAAGATTTAACAAGTTGTTTTTTCTTTACTGTAAAAGCTAACTATAATATATTGAGGACGGCACAATGGAGCGCACTAGCATTAAATAGACAAACATTCATTTGAACACTTCACTTTCTCAACCTTAGAAGTCCTCATAGAGTGAGACAGATTGACAATTGACAATTGGTGACACAATTAATTATGATATTGGAATGTGGTGACACAATGAATTATTAGATTAGAAGGTGGTGAAAGATGAGGTATTAGAAGGTGGTGACACAATGAGGTATTAGAAGGTGGTGACACAATGAGGTATTAGAAGGTGGTGACACAATGAGGTATTAGAAGGTGGTGACACAATGAGGTATTAGAAGGTGGTGACACAATGAGGTATTAAATTAGAAGGTGGTGACACAATGAGGTATTAAATTAGAAGGTGGTGACACAATGAGGTATTAGAAGGTGGTGACACAATGAGGTATTAAATTAGAAGGTGGTGACACAATGAGGTATTAGAAGGTGGTGACACAATGAGGTATTAGAAGGTGGTGACACAATGAGGTATTAAATTAGAAGGTGGTGACACAATGAGGTATAGAATTAGAAGTTGGTGACCTTATAAGGTATCCCTTTCAAAGGTGGTGACTATGGTGATTGGAAGATTGTGACACTATGCGATATTAAATCAGAAGATGGTGAGACTATAAAATATTAAATCAGAAGATGGTGAGACTATGAGATATTAAATCAGAAGATGGTGAGACTATGAGATATTAAATCAGAAGATGGTGAGACTATGAGATACGTTTATGCAAAATGTATATATTCTGATCAGCACTGTAAAAACATCTCATTGTATTGCAGTGGCGTCGTTAGGTCGGGTGTCACCCTGTGCGGCACTTCATGGTGTCACCCCCCCCCCCCCCCCCAAGAAACAAAGTATATTTATTTATTTATGTATTTATTTAGTTAGTTATATGTTTGTGTCGCCTACATAGGCCTATAATTTAAATATATGCCACATACACGTACATGTATGTGCATAAGCTTTAATCACTGCAGAATTATTAGTGACTATGTTAATCTATAGTCTGTTAATAATACAGTTCGTTGCAGCATTGTTTTCTCTATAGTTTGCACGATTACGTCATTGTGTCATCCCCACTCCTTTGTGATAATGGTCGATTTGTACATAAAAGACTATTTAACGTTAATTAATACTTAATGAAACTGGCAAAAAAAAGCATTTCTCTTCTGTGCATGTTGCAATTGCCACCCACCCCTTCCTTAATGGTGTCACTCGGTAATGTCCGCACCCCCCGCCCCACTTCGCTACACCTCTGTTGTATTGTATGGCATGAAAATTGGAGTCATTCGTTCTTTTATTTCAGGGCTGTTAGTGTACCGTCAGAATGACCTTTGACAAAACGACCCTGACAAATCGGTTCCCGACAAAAAAGTTTCCGACAAAAAGAGCCGCGAAAACTTGTCTCATAAGAAAAAGACTCGTTCCAGACTAAAAATTCCCAATAAAATGACTCTTTTGGTAGACACGTAACCAATGTCTACAACCGACGTCAGCATATTTGCTCCAGATAAATAAATGTATTGACCACAATGTACCCAACCTACCTTGACGTTAACTTCCTTTAAAAAATCCGCTCTAATGATTAACCTGTAAACGTTTGACGCTATCTGTTTTGATGGGACATTTTTCACGCCGCATGGGATTAGGATTAGGATTAGGATAAATTTGACGACAATAAGGCTCACCCCATCTTCTGGTGCGTGGCGGCTGGTGTGCGAACTTACAGGCATCCGTCCAATTCTGAGCTTTCATCGCTAACTCAGCATTCCATACCTGTTGAGACATGAACTCCACATTTTTGACAGAAGTTTATTATGGTTTGGTTTATATGATCATGGCAAGGTGGAAAAGTATTGGTGTCCATTCAAGGAAACAAACAAAAACAAAATATCAACAAAAAGACGATGAAATTTCAGTAGTTTATTGTCAGTTTACAATATGTCAGTGTGTATGTGTGTGCGTGCGTGTGTGTTACTGATACCAAACTGTCTTGTAAAAAAATATTTTAACATATTTCAATACATTACCAAGTCGGGCATGACTTTAGCGTTTTCCAGTCTCCTGGCTTCATTGTGGCTATCAAGTATGACTTTGATATGTTCAGCCGTCAACACGGGAGGGGCTGTTGTTACATTAGCGCTCGTTCTGATTTCAGCTGCTTTTGTTATGATGAAAATAAGTGCCATCAGTGCTATGAGGCGTACAAAAAAGGCCATGGCGAAAATCTAGAAACAAAATTCGTTAAGATTCAGAATAAGGGTTAGGGTTAGGGTTAGGGTTAGGGTTAGGGTTAGGGTAGTCTTTCAACCGCAATAAGGTTACTACAACCAAACTCTTGAAAACTAAAGTTTGTTAGATTCAGAGTAAGATTGTGATAGTTCTGGATAATTATTTTTTTTATATTTTCATGAGACACGCGTAATTACTTTTCCAATGATCTACCTTACTGATTCTTACCTTGAGGTAATTTTCCTGTAATGCTCTCTTGTTGGGTCTTGAGTCTTGATTAAAACGTAAGGAGCTGTACGGTGAAGCCACAAGCTCGTACGTCACACGTCATTATGCTAATCCCAACGACAACTAGGGCGGCGGTGTAATATTAATTAGTTCGACTTCGCTTTTTAAAAACAACACCTAGCCAGTGGCGGAACTAGAAAAAAGAGCCACCCCGCAATATATATATATATATATATATATATATATATATATATATATATATATATATATATATATATATATATATATATATATATATATATATATATATATATATATATATATATATATATATATATATATATATATATATATATATATATATATATATATATATATATATATATATATATATATATATATATATATATATATATAAACTAAATACGAAAATAGAATACTCAATACGGGTTTGCTCGAAATTTGAAAATATTACAATTCTTAGTTTTATTTTTAATTAAAACATATTACAACAACACATCATTTGTGTGAGTGTTATTAGTCTGGTTTGAAATTCTTTGTTTCAATGTCTGACATGGTGCTTTCTAATTTATAGGCGGTCAAATGTATGTGTAATGGTCTCTCGCCTTATGTTTATTTTTAAGAATTTTTCTATTTATATTATTAGTTTTTAATACATTTCCTTTTATACTATGTCATGCTTTATTATGTTTTTTTTTAAAATAATAATTAAGAGGAGTAATTGCTTTTCAATTTGTTTAGTTAAAAAAAAAGTTTCTTAATTAAGAGCACACATATTTGACTATTTAAAAAAGGGAAATAAGTAATGGAAGTGTTTTGAACGTTCGCATATCTTTCACACTACAACTCCTGTAGTCATATATGTTTTTCCTTTATGAAACAGCGTGTGTACTGTAGAACATCACTACTGTAGTAGATCTGGTTTTTTTTTTTTTTTTTTTTTTTGCAAAAAAATTATTTTTTTTTCTATAAAAAAGTTGAATCTGGTCGGCTTTGGGCCCCTAAATGGCCTGCCCCCCCCCCCCCCCCCCGCATTGCGGGGTCTGGCGGCACTGTAGTTCCGCCCCTGCACCTAGCTAAACGAACACGAACTACATTTTCAGCAATAGTCATACAAACTAAACAAAAAAAATACATTTTCAGCAATAGTCATACAAACTAAACAAAAAAAAAATTATTTTTTAGTAATAGACGTAAAGGCTTACAAAATAAACTATATTTTAATGCAGGGGTCTCCAAACTACGGCCCGCGGGCCGGATGCGGCCCGCAGCGGCCCGCGAAGTCCTCTCATCCGACCCGCGTAGATCTTTTTCTCCAAGTAAAAATCGTTTGTTGGTGATGGCTGAGGAAGTTTGCCCAGAAAAATCGTAGACATACCTGGAAGAAACTGGCCCCCGAACTGAAATGTGATAGTTAATGCGGCCCTCGGACTGAAAAGTTTGGAGACCCCTGTTTTAAGGAATAGTTATAAAGACTAAAAAAACAAAATACAATTTCTGCAATAATCGTATAAACTAAGCTACATTGTTAGCGCTGGACATAGATCTACACACTAAAAACAAAATTCAGTTTCAGGAATAGACATTATAGTGGCTTACAAACTAAGCAACATTTTCAGGAATATTTATATAGGAAAATAATTTACATAAATAAAGTAAAAAAGTTACTATTTTTAACTAATGGGGCCTACATATTCTTATTTACTTGTTGAGAATTGTAGGCGTAGGCCTCTCATATGTCGGTCTCGCAAGTCCACATTGTGTATTGTTGACGTTTTGCTTTAACAACAGCTTTTGAACGTCTGCTTTGTGATGTTATGAGGACGATAAATGTGGGCAGTAAAGGCGGCTAAAACTATTGTTGCTATGCGTAGAGTACATCAAATTATATTAACTATGTCTTCTTCCTATTTCACGCAGATTTAAAGTTTGTATTTTAAAAACATAATGAAAACTAACTAGGCTGGAACATTCTACTTAAATCTATTCTATAAATGAATTAAAATGTGCATACTTCAGAATAATTAATTTGACTTGTGTACAACCTACGAAGAGGCGTAGCAAGGGGGGGGGGAGCTCGGGGTACGGACCGCATGTGGTGACACCATTTAGGTGGTGACACCAAGGCTAAAAAAAAACATAGCAAAATATGTACAGAAAAATGATAATTCCTCTTAATAAAGAGTTAGTCTTTTAAGAGATAAGTTGACAAATCCCGACAAGGGTGGTTGAGGGGGGAAGGGGGAGTGTGATACCATGACGTAAACCTGCTAAAGATAGAGAAAACACGCTACATCAAGCTGTATTTATAACCGACTATAAATAAAAATCGTTAGTATTATCTGAGCACAGTTTAAAGCAATCACGTAGGGGGTGGGGGTGTGGGGGGGGGGGGGGAGGGGGGGAGGTACATAAACTCAAATATATGTGAATACACACACACACACACAAACACACACACATATATATATATATAATATATATATATATATATATATATATATATATATATATATATATATATATATATATATATGTATATATGTATATATATATATGTATATATATATATATATATATGTATATATATATATGTATATATATATATATATATATATATATGTATATATATATATATATACTTCATAGCGAAGTAATGACGTACAGCTAGTAATTTATATATATATATATATATATATATATATATATATATATATATAATACACGTATATAGAACGTGTTAAAAATTCGGCGACTTTTTTTATCTTTTCGCTCCCCCTACAACGAAAACCTGGATACGCCTCTGGAACCTACGCACATATATTTAATATTTTTACATTACATCAAATCAATTTTATGTTGATTTGCACTTTCGGAAACCACAAGTATGAACTAATTAATGCAAATACACATGTGACTATATTTCTTGTGACTTTTTCTGTGCTTTTTGTGGGTTTTTTCTGGTAACTTTTTTATTTTTCTCGTATACAAAGTATAGAGGATGTATTCAGAGGCGTAGCGAGGTCGGGTGCCACCCGGTGCGGCACTTAATGGTGTCACCCGCCCAGAGGTGTAGCGACCCTTCCCGGGACAAACTTTCAAGTTTTCGATTTGCACCCCCCCCCCCCCTCAAGTTTTCGATTTGCACCCCCCCCCCCCTAAAGTTTTTCTCTATATATTTTGCTATTTCTTGCCTTGGTGTCACCTCCCTAAGTGGTGTCACCCGGTGCGGACCGCACCCCCGCCCCCCCCCCCCCCTCGCTACGCCCCTGGATGTATTGTAATCGTGCAAAAAATCGAAATCGAGATTTTCATAAATCTCGAAGGCGTACACCTCCCTAAGTCGGAAAAACATACCTTTGCATTTTTGTCCGTATGTCTGTGTGTATGTATGTATGTGTGTATGACTATGAACACGATAACTTGAGCACCGTTATATCTAGGTCGCTGAAATTTCATATACAAGTATTTAATCAAATCTATAACGCTTTATTAACTTTTCAGTGATTTCCGGTTACCGGAAGTTGAGCTTGTTCTACTTTAAGTATGTAAAAATTGATTAAAAATCAGGTCTATATCCTGAGTTGCCATATACTGTATTGTTGTATAAGAATATGCGAGAAAGTTTAGGGAAGATCACTCACGCCTTATTCATATAGTTATCAATTTTAGTATCCCTCCGTATCCATAGTGTATGGCGCTCATTAAAACGAATTTAGGCGCCGTAGTGCTCAAGGGGGAGCATAAACATCAGAAGCTATCATAATCTTCGTAAATCGCGAGAAGCGATATTTGCAGATTAATCCCATATGCTTTATTCTGCTAGTTGTTAACCCTAAAGTCTCACATTCGAATCCAGGTTCAAGTCAGTAGTACATCCCCGAGTCCACCTAGCTCTGATTGGTAGGCCTACCTTACTCACTTTTGGGAAAGTAAAAGTAACTGGGCATATTACTAACCACACTAACCTTTCATATGCGGAGGTCACAGAAACAGGTGAACCCTACTTTGCTTGCCATATGGACCGTCAGGTTCTTAAAGAGAACTTTACTTTTAATGGATATAAAAGGCTTGTTATTAGAAATGTCTGAAATAGTAAGTTTTAAATATTTTTTTTTTAAATTTAAGACTTAGATCTAGAATCTATGTAGATCTAGACCTAGATCTAAATTTAAAAATAAACCGGGAGTGATCTCCCCTAAACTTTCTCGAATATTCTAATATAACACTACGTGGGATGTCAACTCGGAATATAGACATGATTTTTGTTTACTTAAACTTTTATAAATAGAATAAAATCTAGTAGAAAAAAAAATTGCGCACCAAGCGAGCACCAAAACCAAATATGCGTAATAGTGCGCAATATTATTAGTACTTTATAAATTTACATGCGTTTTTTTGAGAAATCGGAAATAGCGTAAATTAGTACTTCCGGTCAACGGAAATTACTCAAAATTTGATAGAAGGTAGAGAATTAGATCTTTTACTTACATGTGAAATTTCATTTATCTATCTGAATTAGTACTCAAGTTATAGGCTTTTGAAAAATTCAAAGTAGAAAAAGTACCACTTCCGGTTATCGGAAATCGCTCAAAAGTTGATACGGATCTACGATTTTGATATAATACTTATATATGAAATTTCATCAACCTAGCTGTAACGGTACTCAAGTAATCGTGTTTACACACAGACAGCAGTGGCGGATTAAGGGGGGTGCTGAGAGGGCTGCAGCCAGGGGCCCCCGATTTTTAGGGGCCCCCAAATTTCTTTTTTTAAATCATAGTAAATTTCCCTTTAGAGCTAAATAGTTGGGTTTTTTTTTTAACTATAAAAGCCAATGTTTTATTATTCGATCACACACTTTAGATTTAAATAATGGTTGAGTTCTGACACATAAGTCTATGATTGACGCCTTTTGAAAGTGCACAGCACTTGAAAGTTATTTAGTAAGATAGCTTCATATCATATAGCGAGGTGGTAACAAACATTAAAATAATACAAATGTTAGGCATAGTGTCTACATTCTGAATTAGGTCTCACTCGCAAGCATCCAGACAAGCAACATTATTGACCAGCCTTAATAATCAATGAAAAACTGCCTGGCCGTTTAGGATATCTAAATCTGTTTTTTTAGGTACAGGTTATCCAGATCTAGTTATTTGGATTAACACTCCTTAGATTAATTTCTTAGTTGCCCATTAGGGCCTGGTGAGCATAGGGAATATTAGGTAGAGTTCACATATTTAGTTGTTCTCAGCAAATGAGACATTCTGATCAGTTCTAGATTTATGCCTAGCTTCCTTTAGTTGTTTTAAAATTTGACATTGATCTAGGTAGGCTACCCATCTGTGTTTGGTGTTCTTGGATATGAACCTATGATTAGAGCTCAGGACTTTTGGGTCAGCAGTCTACCCCCTATTGTAAACTCGAAACTTAATTTTAAAAAAAATCAAAATAGGCCACAAACCGTTAGGCCTAATTAATTAGCTTGTAATTTCGTTGACGTCAAGGTAGATTTATCGTAAGAGTATAAGAAATCATCAACTTATTGAACTAAAACTTTATACAATTGTGGAAAGTGCGGACGGCGTATGGGTTGAGAAAGGCAGGGCTATGTGGACATCACATTCATTGAATCATACTATGTATTGTTTATAACAAAAACAAAGCTGCATAAACAATGTAGGTCTAAAAACAAATACGACAGTACCCGTGTTATTTTAACCCAACTCAATGGGCAGTTATGTCGCGGCAAACCTATTTAGGCCCTGTAATAAGGTAACCGATGTTTATGCCTAAATTAGGCCTAGACAGAAACAGATCAGACATGACGTTCAGTGGAAATTCAACTTTTTTGTGGGCCTTATAAATGGATGACACCGAAGAGGATGGAGGTGTGGTTTTTTTTTGGGCTTATGCCGTGCTTAGTAGTTTTAGTTGGACCTCGTTTAACCTCTTTATGTTATTAATAATTTCTAACATAGAGTGGTTTGAAATTCTCATTTTTCTTTTCGCGTCTGCAAGCAAACAAGTGCCAACAGTCTTTATCGCCATTATAATATTCTCATGGATATTTATATTTGTACAATGTTAGTCTGCATTTCCAGCTTTATCATGCCTAATATAAATTCGTAAATGACAGTTCAATAACTATCATGACACGGATATAACGGCTCAGGAGTTTCACTCCCATTAGCCAGGGAGGTCAACTCAAACAAACTGGCAAAAAGTGGACTGAATCAGTCTCACGAAGGTGTTGGTTTGAAACACTACATGTTAATCGCTTATTCATTCGTAGGCTCTGACCAAATCCGTAGGCTCTGACCAGGCTTTACTTCCCCCACCACCAGATTTATGACATCGTCCTAACGTCTGGTATCCGGCTAGGTCGATGATCAGAGGTCGGAAACTTCTACAGGCCTAAAGTAACAGTCATATATTTAGTACTGCTGACGCAGCAGATGGATCTCGCCTCTTTGTGTTTTGTTCGTGTGTGTGTCGTGGTAGTGGATGGGGGGGGGGGGGGGGGGAGGGCAACATATAATCTTGCTAAAAATCAAATTGTATCCAATTTATCGTTCATTGCACATAATTGATAGCTTTTAAAATTAGCAGTTTTGTAAATATCAGTTTCAAATGTTCCTAAAAGTTAAAATAATCCATGATTTTAAAAAATAGTTTGTTGATTAGGATATATATATATATATATATATATATATATATATATATATATATATATATATATATATATATATATATATATATATATATATATATCAGGGGCCCCCCAAAAATTTAAGCCTGGGGCCCCGCCCAAGCTTAATCCGCCCCTGACAGACAGACACACAGACACACAGACACACACACAGACATACGGACAAGATTGCAAAATTATGTTTTTCCGTATCAGTGAGGTGTAAAACGTCGAGATTTGTAAAAATCTCGATTTTTTTTTTTTGCACGATTACAATACTTTCTCTATACGAGAAAGTAATAAGACAACTTATGTCTAGCTCTCGCCGCTAAACGAGAAGAAACTATCATTAGCGGAAGTTCGCAACAAACATGGCAGCCTCCTGGATAACAGAAGCTTATCACTGAGAATAACAATCCGAAACAAGCTTTTTTCTCCTGCCATATTATTTACTTGATTTAATTAAAGTAAATAGAAGTAATACAATGATTTAAATGTTACTGGGTTAACTAAGACAGTAAGTTTTCAATCTTAGTTTGCAACATGTTTCATGTTTAATAATAGTGGTTCTCGACTATTATTAAAATTTAAGAAACAATGTCAACATCATCACATGACACGCCCCCTTTTAAATTTAGGCTTTTAATCATCTAATCTAGATCTAGATTTAGATGGAATCTAGTAAAGTCTAAAAAGGCAAGCTATTAATATTCTTACTTAATTTATTTTTCTGATTAGGCCTATAAAATGTAGATTTCTAGATTTAGACCTAGAGTTCTAGACTAAGTGTCTAGAGCCCTGCCCTAGACTCAGTCTAGGCTCTAGACTGTCCAGACAATGATCAATGTTGGATTGTTGGTAGCCTAAATTTAAAATTTAAACTATTTTAGCATTAGTTACTAGTAGTGAGTATTAGAGTATTAGGCATTAGGACTAAATAGGCCCCCTATTACTAAATAATTTAAATATTAATAGGGCCTATAGGATTATAGGCCTATTAAACTTAGTCCTCCTAAGGTCCTAAGGCCTAACCTAAGCTTAGTAAGCTGTAGTGTAGCCAGGCCTATTAAATATTAATAATTAATTAGGCTAGACTAAGCATAATTAATTGATTTAGTTAGGCCTCGGCCTACCTACTACCTACACTGAGAGAACTGCCTAATTTTAAATTTGGCCCCATCTGCCTAAACTTATTAGGCCTAAATTAAGTCCAATCCTATTCAATAGTCCTAGGTGGCTAAGTTTAATAATGATAATCTAAAGTAAAGAACGTCAAAGCAAGATGCTCACAACTTCCACTACATTATAAATATAAAGGCTAAAGCAAAGTCAACTGTAAATAAGTTTGACGAATAAAACAAAAATTTAGTTTCTATTTTCTCAAATTTTAAATTAAAATATTCTGTCACTTATCATACACCATTAAAAATTATATCTTATGGGTCAAGTAGAGGCCAATTTTAATTGTTTAGCTTACCCAGAGGCAGAGAAAACAAAAAAAATGTATTAAAAATGACCTAAAACACTTATAATGCAAAACACTTTTTTTTTGCCATTGCCATAATTCAAACATTATTTTGTTTTCTATGTTAGCATGCTGTCATGGCTATCATCACAACATTGGTTTTAATCACCAAAACAACATCTTTTTCCTAGGCACTCACAAAACTTTATTGGCCTATCCATTATGTTTAATAAGAAAATAGGCCTATTATTTTAAACGAGCCGACCCGCTGCATATCATACGCCGCTATTTAGTTGTTTTATATTCTACTTTTCAGTAATTCATAATTTGTGAATTCGACAGTACCAATGCTGCCACTGAATATATTTGCTTTAAAACACTATCAGTAGCTTGTTAAGGACGATAACCCCCCCGCAGTGAAAGCAGCCTCCTCTTAGTTACCTCCCCTATGTTTAAAATAGTTTCAAATTAAATTATCTGCCCCTAATAGCCGTCACTAAATCCGGCTCTATGATTGTAAAGATTTAGCGTGAACCACAGCTCACCAGACCATGTAGGGGTGGGGGTGGTAGGGAGCATGCTTACAGCTTGGTGTTTTCTAGGGTCTCCAAGAAGAGAATTATATATATTATATAGATTTTTTATTACAAATTCTTATTCTACACACAATTTAAGACATTGGTTAGGACCTACGTGATTAATTTAAAAATAGATACCCATAATATCCACACAAAAAAATTGATCCGACAGGAATCATAGATCTAGTCCTTATAAACTAAAGACAGGACAGTATTATGATAGATCAACTTTTTAAAAATTTTTAATGTAAAATAAAATTATAAATTATAATGTTTTCTCTCCTACAGAAGCGTTAGGCTAAAATGTTTTAACCACTTTATTGAATGCGTCGAAAATTCATAGTTCAGTTCTATAAACTTGCGTGAACTTAAATTGACCTCATGTATGCCTGTTTTTCAATTTGCTTTGTTTATGGGGAGGGGGGTGGAAGTGACATCACAGACTATCTCAAATAGCTAAAGTTCATACTATGATAATGTGTGCTATAGGCCTGCTGAACTCACAGTGACCCTTTGAACATAATGTAATGATTTTTCTTTTGCTGACAAGAAAATGTAGGAAGTCGAGCGTAAGAGTGATGATGTTTGGAAATTTTTGAATAATAATTTTTTTAAACTTTAATTTTGATTAAGAAAATTCTCTAAAAAAGCAAAGTAAAAATAAAGACTGATTAACTTAAGATTCGAACTCGGATCTTCTAGGTCAGCCATGTGTTTTGAGATAAAATATTAGGCATTTTTAACCTAAAGACAGTTAAAAACAAACAAAATAAACACTGCTTCATTTTCTTACTACAATATGACATTTTTAGGGATTCCAAGCATAATTTATTTTCAAAAAGGTAAATAGTATTAGTATCAGAATCTATTACTACTATACTAGTATTTGTAGATTATCTAGATCTATATTAGAGTTTTTGTTTGGAGTATGGAATAGTATACTCGATATCTATTTTTTTAATGTATTCTACAGAAATAAAAATACTCTGAACGCTTGCGCGTTCCGCATAGTCACAGTCTCTATAGACCACCGGTCAATAAAGTCTAACAACTGTTGCAATTAGCACTAAATAAGGCCATTGAGTGAGCATTGTTTAAAATACAATACTACATTTACTAGTTTAACAAAATGATCACATTATATGTTCACTGAAAGTACAATAAGTACATTCAGCATACATTGAAGAAAAAACACCAGTTTACTTCTAAAATTACTAATACAATACTAATTTATATAAATTTATTTTTTCTGCATATGCTACAAATGAACAGTAATAAAATTAGTTCATTTAGTAAAAAACAAAAATTAGTTGGTTCTATTTGACAACTAATGTACTGATGGCTTAAGCTTCTAAAAATAGTGGGCTTAATTTTTACATTGATACCTCAAGAGTGAGGCAAATTGTGGGCAATACAATTGTAAATACAAATTGTCGCAAACTTCATTACATTTTATTGCAACCCACTTTGAGATGATGAGCTGCTGCACTCAGAATTAAGCCTTTACAAAAATGTCCACACGAAAAATTGCTCTTTTGAAATTAAAACTAAAATCAAGCAATTCGTTCCTTGCTGAGGAAGGCAGATAATTTATTTCTTTAGAGTCTCACATTAAAATAATACTGAGATTTCATGTGAATATGTCATTTTTATTTGTCATACGTATTATCCTTAAAAAACGTAAAAAAGCATAAAAAAAACCAGAGCGTGACATTTCAGGGTTCAATATCATTTCTGATTTGCGGCCTAAAGATGGACTAATCAGAAATAGGCATATTGCAGTGCTAAAAAAAATAATTCTTTTGGCTTTTTTAACTATTGTTTACTTACTGTTACCTAAATAACCTTATGCCTGCCTATGAATATCCTATACATTAAATGTAAACTTAGGCCTATACATCAAATGTAACTTTATGATATTAATGAAAATATTAAAAATAATGTTTACAAACTCACCAATCCTAATCCTATATGGAAATATGCCCAATTAGACATGATCTGTGAACATAACTGCTTTCCATAAGTTCAAAGATCTGCTGTATGTGGAATGCTTTTTGAAAGTTTTTGTATATAGAAATAATAAGTTTAAGGTATACAATTCTAATTACTTTAAAAAAAATTCTTTTATGAAATGCTCCATTTTTTGCATTGTTTAAAATTTTAAAAACTTTTACAATTCTAAACTAGATGGGCACTCTGAAAGATAACAAAGATGTAGCCTGCTATTTTATTACAAAGCATTCCTGGAAGGGAAAGTAAGTGCATCTTCTTTTATCGTCTAGCCCAGGGGTCTCCAAACTACGGCCCGCGGGCCATTTGCGGCCCGCGAGGTCCTCTCATCCGGCCCGCGGCGATCTTTTTGTCCACGGAAAATTTAAAACAATTTGAAAATGAAGCTTTCGGTGCAAATACTATTATCCGCCTTGTTGCATACATTGGTGACTCAAATAGCGAAGAGATGTCTTGAAGAAACTCTGGCCCCCCAACTGATATTTGATAGTTAATGTGGCCCTCGGGCTGAAAAGTTTGGAGACCCCTGGTCTAGCCAAATAGGTTTTAAAATAGGGAAGTTAAAAAAAATAAAATTTGATTATTATTTTTTTTAATTTCTTGTATATGGAGCATAGAGGAAGTATTTTTGCTAAACTTAAAACTTGAAGGGACGGAGTGGTCTAGCGGTAGAGAGCTGGACTGCTAACCCGTAAGTCTCGAGTTTGAATCCGGGTTCTAGTCAGAAGACCGTCCCTAAGTCTACCCAACTCAGATGGGTACCTAACACACGTTAGGGAAAGTAAAGGCGGCTGGGCATGGTGCTGACCACACTATCTCTTCATATGCAGAGGTCACAGAAACAAGTGAACTCTAGTTCACTTGCTCTATAGACCGTCAGGTTTGAAAAGGGAACTTAACTTAAAACTTGAGATTTTCATAAATCTTGACATTTTACTCTTCCCAGTTTAGGAAACACCTGGATTTGCAATATTGTGTGTGTGTGATGACTTAAGTACAGTGATGTTGACAAAATTTCATATATATTTTAGGTCCAAGTTCTAGGTTTCTTTTAAGAGCAAAGACCCTTGAATACCCTTGATCTACCTAGTAAAAGTCCTAGTTACTTCTTACTATGTTCTTCATAATAGTAGTTACTAGTTAAGTTACAACTTACAAGATAGACGAGTATTCACTATTTCAGTATCTACTAGTAGATCTAGTTACAGTTCTAGATCTAGTAGTAGTAGATATACTACTAGCTAGATCTAGTATTAGATGATACTTGTAAATATTGCAAGTAAACTAGGAAACAGAAACGTATGCCAAAGGGAGATAATCGCTTTTCCCTGCCTTTTTAAATTCACTTTATTACTTTTTTTTATTAATTTTTATTTTTCAAGAAAATCGGAACAAACTTGAGTCAAATTCGGAATGACGGAGCAAATTACTTTTTTAGGTGAAAAAGCGGGACAGTTCAGATTTTGGGCGGGATGGTAGGCATGTCTGGATTAATAACAGAGAGAGCAACCAGATGTTTACATTTTAAATTAGCTTTTTAAAGTTTAAAAAAAAATCATTTCCACTTTAATAAAATTGTAAAATTTAAAAAAAAATGTTTATAAGGGAAACATTAAATTGCAATTAGAAAGAACTTTTATTTTTATATTATGAGTAACCGAAAATTCTTTATTTAAGATTTAAGATACAATAAAGTATTAATTATATAAACTTGTACATAAATTTACCTATCATTTCTATGGCCTGACTTCATGGAAGTGCTATGACCTCAACCCTTACATGCCAGTTATATAAGAACTAGCATGCCCGCCCCGAGTTGCCACAGTCTCAGAAGGAAGTCAGACTCAATGTTTTAAGAGGGTTTCACCAATGTGTTGCCAATCCTATATTCTTTGACATGTCACCTTGTTAACTAAAACTAAGCTATTTAAAAATAAATAATGCCTCCACTATATATTTTGAATCATATTTGTCAGGGCACAATTTTCCCTTCACTACTGCCTAGTATGCCCCAGAGTGTATTGTATGAAAGCTTGAATGTACGTTAATCACTGTGTCAATATTTCAGGGTGCTCTTTCAAATGAGCGTAGGTTCCATAAAGCTCATGGGAAAACCCAGGGCACCAAATAGCACCCTGCTGGGGCACCAATGGACATAGGGTTTTAACCCTAACCCTCTGCATCATGGTGCTCACAGGATATCCTTGGGTGCCAAATCGCACCCAGTTCCATTCAATTTTTTTTCTCACACAAACCTCCCCAGAAGTATTCTCATCAACTCTCCAAAGCTTCAGGTTCCTCAGATGAATGGTGTCGAACCGCATCCAACTTTTATTTATATATACCAAATATAGAGAAAAATCACATCGCACCCAACTGGGATGCTGCCATTGCGAAATTAAAGAAAATTTCAGCAGAAACCTCTCCAGGAGTATACTCAACAACTTCCCAAAGTTTCATGGCTATCTGATGAAAGGTGTAATAATGAATAAAGGACAAACAAAAATACTTTAGTTTATATATATATATATATATATATATATATATATATATATATATATATATATATATATATATATATATATATATATATATATATATATATATATATATATATATATATATAATATATAAAGCTCAATTCTGTATGTAAAAATAAGTTTGTTTGTTTGTCGTTGACATACTTCGATGGATTTAAGTGTTAGACAATTATCGTGCTCATAGTCAGTCTAAATTTATGAGTTAAAAAATTACTATTGAAAGTGTTGGGAAATAATTTTCATTTTTCAAACTGAAAGTAATAATTGTCGACATGTTCATTAAACATAATTTTAAAAAAATAACAAAAATTCTAATTATGTCTGAAAATTATTTATATTTAGTCCTTTAGCACTTACTTCCCTTTGATAAATTAGGAAAACACAATTACTTCCCTTTATAAAACATTGCATTTGTGGAAAAGAATTTACTTTTTATTACTTTGTTTTGGAGTTGGGAAAAAAATAATTACATAATTAGCGGGGATTGATCAAGTGCAAATGTTGTAGGTATTTTACGAATAAGCTTGGAGTATTATAATTGTTCATTTGGTTTGGTTTGGCACCTACGTTCGTTTAAGTGAGTGCAAAAGACTATGAATAAGTTGGGGTACTGTAGTCGATTATTAAGCTGAAACAGGCGATTCTGCCCCGGGCTAGACTGTGAGCACTTTGCGTTTATGTTCGCGTTAGTGTTTTCTTTGTGTTTAGGTTGGGTTTGCGTTAGTGGTTGCGTTTTGATTTGGTTCGTTTTTGTTTTTTTCTTTTTTCGTTTGTGTTTTTTTCTTTGGCTTTGTGTTTGTATTTGTGTTTGTGGTTGGTTTTGCGCTTGGATTTGGTTTGTTTTCGTTTGCTTTTTCGTGTTTTTTTCTTTGGGTCTGTGTTTGTGGTTGGTTTTGCATTTGGATTTGGTTTGTTTTTGTTTGCTTTTTCGTTTTTTTTTCCTTTGTGTTCGTATTGGTGGTTGTGGTTGTGGTTGGGTTTGTTGTTAGGTTTTTCTTTTCGTTTGCTTTTTTGTTTGTTTTTTCTTTGTGTTTGTATTGGTGTTTGGGTTTATTGTTAGGTTTTTGTTTTTGTTTGTATTTGTAATTGTGTTAGCGTTATGTTTGCGTTTTTGTTGTTTTGGTTGGTTGTGGTTTGGGTGGGCAATGCCGGGTTTATGATGATTACTAAACACACAGGTAATGGTCTTTAACAGAAAGGTTTTTCACAGAAGCCAGAGCAGGGCCTGGCCGGGACGGCTAGTATATATATAGATATACAAGAAAGTTTAGGTAAGCACACTCCCTCTTTATTTTATCATGGGCATAACTATAAAAATTGTCACTTTTATCAACTTAGATACAAAAGAATTTTCTCAGTTGGCACGCATGGCATCACCACCTACAATCCTGCAACTTTTGAAGTCACAAATCAGGTATTTGTTGTTCTCTTATTGTACTCATATTATTCTTTTATTATTTGCTTTGGCTAGCAGTTTTTCTTGCAAGGTTTCGTCTAGAAGTAGAATGCACTTGCTATACGGAAATTATGAGTTTGGGATCAGGACTTAAGGAATGTAGGTTGCTCACTAAGTAATTTACTAATATTCAAAGCAGGTGGTCCGATGCATAAGTGAAAAAGTAATACCCTCACCTGCCCATGGTCAGGACACTCTCCAACCCAACCACACCACTCCCTTACTTATATTAGGCGTATGTTTCATACTGTAGTGTTTCCGTAATGTTTCTTTTAAACTACACTATAATGGCGCCTATAATGGTTTTGCTTATATTAGGTATCTAATCAATGTTTCTTTTCCTTTTACTAATATCTTTGGCCTATAATATTTGTTTTTGTTTCTCTCATTTTTAGTGTGCCTATAATGTTTTTGTTTCTTTCATTAGTGGGTCTATAATGTTTTTGTTTCTCTCATTTTTAGTGTGCCTATAATGTTTTTGTTTCTTTAATTAGTGGGTCTATAATGTTTTTGTTTCTCTCATTTTTAGTGTGCCTATAATGTTTTTGTTTCTTTCATTAGTGGGTCTATAATGTTTTTGTTTCTTTCATTAGTGGGCCTATAATGTTTTTGTTTCTCTCATTTTTAGTGTGCCTATAATGTTTTTGTTTCTTTCATTAGTGGGTCTATAATGTTTTTGTTTCTTTCATTAGTGGGCCTATAATGTTTTGTTTTTTTCATTAGTGGGCCTATAATGTTTTTGTTTCTTTCATTAGTGGGCCTATAATGTTTTTGTTTCTTTCATTAGTGGGTAGTGGGCCTATAATGTTTTTGTTTCTTTCATTAGTGGGTCTATAATGTTTTTGTTTCTTTCATTAGTGGGCCTATAATGTTTTTGTTTCTTTCATTAGTGGGTCTATAATGTTTTGTTTTTTTCATTAGTGGGCCTATAATGTTTTTGTTTCTTTCATTAGTGGGCCTATAATGTTTTTGTTTCTTTCATTAGTGGGTAGTGGGCCTATAATGTTTTTGTTTCTTTCATTAGTGGGTCTATAATGTTTTTGTTTCTTTCATTAGTGGGCCTATAATGTTTTTGTTTCTTTCATTAGTGGGTCTATAATGTTTTTGTTTCTTTCATTAGTGGGTCTATAATGTTTTTGTTTCTCTCATTTTTAGTGTGCCTATAATGTTTTTGTTTCTTTCATTAGTGTGCCTATAATGTTTTTGTTTCTTTAATTAGTGGGTCTATAATGTTTTTGTTTCTTTCATTAGTGGGCCTATAATGTTTTTGTTTCTTTCATTAGTGGGTCTATAATGTTTTTGTTTCTCTCATTTTTAGTGTGCCTATAATGTTTTTGTTTCTTTCATTAGTGGGTCTATAATGTTTTTGTTTCTTTCATTAGTGGGTCTATAATGTTTTTGTTTCTCTCATTTTTAGTGTGCCTATAATGTTTTTGTTTCTTTCATTAGTGGGCCTATAATGTTTTTGTTTCTTTCATTAGTGGGCCTATAATGTTTTTGTTTCTTTCATTAGTGTGCCTATAATGTTTTTGTTTCTTTCATTAGTGGGTCTATAATGTTTTTGTTTCTTTCATTAGTGGGCCTATAATGTTTTTGTTTCTTTCATTAGTGGGCCTATAATGTTTTTGTTTCTTTCATTAGTGGGCCTATAATGTTTTTGTTTCTTTCATTAGTGGGTCTATAATGTTTTTGTTTCTTTCATTAGTGGGCCTATAATGTTTTTGTTTCTTTCATTAGTGGGCCTATAATGTTTTTGTTTCTTTCATTAGTGGGCCTATAATGTTTTTGTTTCTTTCATTAGTGGGCCTATAATGTTTTTGTTTCTTTCATTAGTGGGTCTATAATGTTTTTGTTTCTTTCATTAGTGGGCCTATAATGTTTTTGTTTCTTTCATTAGTGGGCCTATAATGTTTTTGTTTCTTTCATTAGTGGGCCTATAATGAATTTATCAGCATTGTCCCTAACACCAAAGCAGTCAACAATCAGGAGTTTATCATCTCAATGAAAAAGGGGGCAAAAAAAACTGACTCTATGAAATTTTCTACAGACCACAGAGCTGATCTTCTCACTGAGGCTCTGGTGAGTTTTGTTTTCAATGTGACATTTTAATTCTTCTTGGTTTTCAATGTGACATTTTTATTTCTTCTTTGTTTTCAATGTGACGTTTTTATTTCTTCTTGGTTTTCAATGTGACATTTTTATTTCTTCTTGGTTTTCAATGTGACATTTTTATTTCTGCTTTGTTTGCAATGAAACATCATTTTTATTTCTTCTTTGTTTTCAATGTGACATTTTTATTTCTGGTTTGTTTTCAATGTGACATTTTTATTTCTTCTTTGTTTTCAATGTGACATTTTTATTTCTTCTTTGTTTTCAATGTGACATTTTTATTTCTTGTTTGTTTTCAATGTGACATCATTTTTATTTCTGGTTTGTTTTCAATGTGACATCATTTTTATTTCTGCTTTGTTTGCAATGAAACATCATTTTTATTTCTGCTTTGTTTTCAATGAAACATCATTTTTATTTCTGCCTTGTTTTCAATGAACCATCATTTTTATTTCTGCTTTGTTTTCAATGGGACATCATTTTTATTTCTTTGTTTTCAATGAAACATCATTTTTATTTCTGCTTTGTTTTCAATGTGATATCATTTTTATTTCTGCTTTGCTGATAGTTTATATTTTTATTAAGCAATTTTACCGAGGTAAAGTTTTGAATAAATCATTTACCAAAATTTAAAAAAATCTTTTCTCTAACTTTGATTTAAATATTTAAAATGTTAAGTACTAGTAATATTTGTATAAAATATTATGTACTGAGACCACACCCATCACAAAATTATTATTTTATTTAATAGAGATACAGAGAGCAGTTTGCAGATCCTAACAACTTCACTGCTCGTCGTTTTAATTGCTTTAAGCATCATTGGTCAGAAAATAGAGTAGCAGTTCTATTAGAGGTTAATCAAGGCTCACTAGACCAGGTTGATCCATCTAGCAAGAAAAAACTCTGCTCATATGATTATAAGGACATTGAAGGTCTGCAGCTGGTAAGTTGCTTTATGGAACTATACAGTGCTATCATCTGGGATGACACTTTTTTCATTTGGGCGGATTAACACATTGTCTAGAATTTGAATTTTCAGTCAGAATTTTTGTCAGAATTTTTTCACTAATATTTCTAAGTTACATATTTTTGCAGATAATTTTTTAAAAAAAAGTTCTAAAATGATGACAACCTGCAAACAGAGTTACTTTAATACACCTTTTTAATGGGACCCCTCCCCACAATGTTGTCTGTATTTATAATTGACCATTGGTTTCAAACCACTACCATTCCCGCTGCATTCCATTAATTTTAGAACTTGAGATTGATTTTGAAATAAATATGAAGTGCTAAGTGCTTTAGTTAGGTTTAGAATAAATATGAAGTGCTAAGTGCTTCAGGTAGGTTTAGAATAAATATGAAGTGCTAAGTGCTTCAGGTAGGTTTAGATGTCACCATTCATCATTGGGATTGAATGCTTTTCCCATCAGACACTATTTCATTAAACTAAGAACTGGTTTTATATTTTCAGTTATCAGATTATCCTGTAGAACTGGTTTTATATTTTCAGTTATCAGATTATCCTGTAGAACTGGTTTTATATTTTCAGTTATCAGATTATCCTCTAGAACTGGTTTTATATTTTCAGTTATCAGATTATCCTGGAGGAGTGGCCATTATCTATGGAGGCTTCAGCAGGCTGGTATGTAATGTTCATGTTCAGTATTAGTTATAGATAAATCATATGACCATTATGTTGATGTTCAGTATTAGTTCATAGATGAATCATGTGACCATTATGTCATTTAAGAGGAGATAATTTTATGCTTTGATTCGACAGCTTTTCTTTACATGTACATTTGAAACATTTTAGCACCTTTACATGTACATTTGAAACATTTTAGCACCTTTACATGTACATTTGAAACATTTTAGCACCTTTACATGTACATTTGAAACATTTTAGCACCTTTACATGTACATTTGAAACATTTTAGCACCTTTACATGTACATTTGAAACATTTTAGCACCTTTACATGTACATTTGAAACATTTTAGCACCTGTTTGCGCTAGAGCAAAGAGATGAATTATGTAAAGCAATATCGGAAGCAGGTGCAGCATATGTCGGAGTTTTCATAAGGACTAGGAAAGAAACAATGACTTTAGAACAATTTCAGATGCAGAGGTTAGGAAAATACAGGTAAGTTTGTTGGTTTTTCTTTAGAATTTAAAATTTTAATTTTAAAAATTGAAGCCTGCGCTGTTTGATGATTTGATTCCCTTGCCATATTTTAATTCAGAACACTTGAATTATTTTGTAGCACTGATGAAGCTGTTACATCCTATGCGGAATTCACAGTCCAGAAAGTGTCTGTTAGACATACAGACAGTGTGAGGCGCACATTATGCCTAACTGAGACTTGTCTGGTGGAGCGAGATCCAGCCACTTATAATATTTGCACGTGTAAACCTTTGTGTGATGTGAGTTTTGTAAACCTTTGTGTGATGTGAGTTTTGTAAACCTTTGTGTGATGTGAGTTTTGTAAACCTTTGTGTGATGTGAGTTTTGTAAACCTTTTCATGATTGCACGCACTTTTTTTTTGCTTTGTTATAGGTTTTTGCAATAAATAGAGATGCGGAGAATCCACAGAAGTTCAGCGTTGAATATGTTAAGGGGGCCATCAGGATATATCTTTCCACAGACAGGTAAAATGATGGTATCATTTAGATTATCAAAGTTGGAGATTCTCTGATAGTCTCTGTAATGGAATTATCCTTACATTTTTGGGATTATTTGTTTCAGAGATTCTCTGATTGCATCTGTAATGGAATTATCCTTGGATTATTTGTTTCAGAGATTCTCTGATAGTCTCTGTAATGGAATTATCCTTACATTTTTGGGATTATTTGTTTCAGAGATTCTCTGATAGTCTCTGTAATGGAATTATCCTTACATTTTTGGGATTATTTGTTTCAGAGATTCTCTGATTGCATCTGTAATGGAATTATCCTTGGATTATTTGTTTCAGAGATTCTCTGATAGTCTCTGTAATGGAATTATCCTTACATTTTTGGGATTATTTGTTTCAGGGATTCTCTGATAGTCTCTGTAATGGAATTATCCTTACATTTTTGGGATTATTTGTTTCAGAGATTCTCTGATTGCATCTGTAATGGAATTATCCTTGGATTATTTGTTTCAGAGATTCTCTGATAGTCTCTGTAATGGAATTATCCTTACATTTTTGGGATTATTTGTTTCAGAGATTCTCTGATAGTCTCTGTAATGGAATTATCCTTACATTTTTGGGATTATTTGTTTCAGAGATTCTCTGATTGCCTCTGTAATGGAATTATCCTTACATTTTTGGGATTATTTGTTTCAGAGATTCTCTGATTGCCTCTGTAATGGAATTATCCTTACATTTTTGGGATTATTTGTTTCAGAGATTCTCTGATTGCCTCTGTAATGGAATTATCCTTACATTTTTGGGATTATTTGTTTCAGAGATTCTCTGATTGCCTCTGTAATGGAATTATCCTTACATTTTTGGGATTATTTGTTTCAGAGATTCTCTGATAGTCTCTGTAATGGAATTATCCTTACATTTTTGGGATTATTTGTTTCAGAGATTCTCTGATTGCATCTGTAATGGAATTATCCTTGGATTATTTGTTTCAGAGATTCTCTGATTGCCTCTGTTTTGGATGGTGTGCGAGCTTCTGGAAACAGGGATGTTTGTGTCAAAATGCATAACACTCCACGGGGATATCGTCTAGGTATAATCTTCTCACTTGATTTCATATGTTATCGCCATTTAATGGGAGGCAGTGGTGCCCTTTTTCAGGATATGCCAGTAGTTCTTCATTCCTGAACTGTTTTTTAATTCAAAGTTTAAAATTTTGACGTTCTAGAAATATTTGTATTATGAAGACTCCAGAGCAGATTTGCAACATATGGCGCTGTCCACCATTTGCAAATGCATAGAAAGTACAGTATCCTGTGCTCTGTAAATTTAATTAACATTGGCATGACATGATTTATTTTGCCACTAATTTCATTTTAGTTTTAACGCTAACAGTTGTTAAATATAGATTCTGATTTAAATCAAACTTGAAATTCACATGCATTAATCTTAGTACTTTTTTGCGGGACTAAGCATTTATAAATGTGTCTGTTAACATTAGTTGATCAGGGCTTAGTCTACCAGACTAGACATGAATATCTCAGTTGCAACAATCCATGATAATTTTCTTGACCTATGTGGACTGTCCACACTCTGTGTAGTCCAGAAGAAAAGGAAGATAGAAATAAGGTTCTAAATGTGGTCACAAAGATAAGGCATGTCTGTTGTAAGATGTGGCCTCTAAATGTTGAAGGCTCTAAGGTGCTTTTTCTTATGCATCTTTTCCCCCCACATCCACTCTGGTTTTTCTTTGAAGGGCCTTTCACAGTGCCAGTAGATGAAGAGGTAGAAGCCACCCATCTCAAGTCCTTGCAATCACTTCCAGGTAGGTCTTGGTGCATTCAGGTTTGTGTTGGTGCATTCAGGTTTGTGTTGGTGCATTCAGGTTTGTGTTGGTGCATTCAGGTAGGTGTTGGTGCATTCAGGTTTGTGTTGGTGCATTCAGGTTTGTGTTGGTGCATTCAGGTTTGTGTTGGTGCATTCAGGTTTGTGTTGGTGCATTCAGGTTTGTGTTGGTGCATTCAGGTTTGTGTTGGTGCATTCAGGTTTGTGCTGGTGCATTCAGGTTTGTGTTGGTGCATTCAGGTAGGTGTTGGTGCATTCAGGTTTGTGTTGGTGCATTCAGGTTTGTGTTGGTGCATTCAGGTTTGTGTTGGTGCATTCAGGTTTGTGTTGGTGCATTCAGGTTTGTGTTGGTGCATTCAGGTTTGTGTTGGTGCATTCAGGTTTGTGTTGGTGCATTCAGGTTTGTGTTGGTGCATTCAGGTTTGTGTTGGTGCATTGAACCATTAAATCAATTCTCATTCAACCATAACTGCTAAGTATATTGAGAAGGATGTTTTGGGATGGTAACTGTTTAAGAAGCCTTTTCTCCATAGCCTTAATGACTGGGGCGACTAGTTGACTAGAGCAAATGCTATATTGTTTTTCTACATGCATCACTAGGATACTATGAACTTGATTAATTATTTAGAGGTGTGTAGTTTTCATTATGGTTAGTTCAGTAGCTTGTAATTGTATATTCTCTATGATATAATTGTCCTTAACCCTTTGAGCCCGCCAGGCCGGTAAACCGGCTTCAACATTAGGCATATATGTCCGAAAAGCCGGTTTACCGGCCCGATGATCTAGCATCATATTCCTAGCGGCCGGTATACCGTGTAATTAAGTATAATTAGCGGGAGACTGACTAAAACGGCGCATATGTCTTTTGAGTGCGGGATTATGATTCTAAAAATTGATTTTTAGGAAAATTGAAAATGAAAGTGTTTACATTTTGTAGCAATGTCGCCGAAACGAAAAGCTGAGCTACAGCCGTCGACTTCATCACATCAAGTTGGTGCAAAAGATGAAGCAAAAGACCGAAATATCAATAAATGAAGTAGAATGACTGCATCTCAGGCAATACAACTACTTATTGATTCTGATGAAGAAGAAAATATTCCTGGTCTATAGTGTGTTGATAGTGACGTTGAATTTGAGACTGAACACAGTGACATTGAAATTGACAGTGACAATGAAACTGTTCAAGTACGTTCTGATGCACGAGGTGCTAAGGACAAAGACTTGCCGAAACGAAAAAAAACTGTTTTCTGGTGCAAAACATGAGAAGTTTTTCTTTGCGTCGGCTCCAGCAGTGATAACTGTTTTGAAAGTTATCACACAAAAGTGGACTTCTGGCGATGAACTAGTATGGCCAGGTATCAATATTAAAAAAACAATTACTAAATTGGTTTTTTCTATGTTCTATCAAAACAATAATTATGTGTTCGTTTTATATACATTGTTCTGTTCAAACGTTGAAAAAAAAAGAATTTCAGAATCTTGCTGCATTGTTGTTTGATCCTGAGTCTGGATACCAAATTTGGCTTGATTGTCTCAAACGGTTCAAAAGTTATAGGCAAAATAAGAAGCAGATTAGTAAAAATTGGTTTGGCCCTGAGAGCTCAGGAAATGGGAGAAAGTAGGTCAGGGAGGCCAGGGCTCAAAGGGTTAATTTATTCTCTTCAGGAACCAAACGTATGTATAATATAGGATATTTTATAACTGGAAAATTGAAAGTAATGCCATTTAAAAGTAGAGTTAGGGTAGAGTGTTTGGTAGCTAAATTTGTCTTCCTGCCAAAAATAGAATGAAGCGGAAATAGTTTTGTTATAAGTTGTAATGCTGTCTCCTTACATAATGAAATGGAAATAGTTTTGTTATTAGATGTAATGCTGTCTCCTTACATAATGAAATGGAAATAGTTTTGTTATTAGATGTAATGCTGTCTCCTTACATAATAAAATGGAAATAGTTTTGTTATTAGATGTAATGCTGTCTCCTTACATAATGTAATGGAAATAGTTTTGTTATTAGATGTAATGCTGTCTCCTTACATAATGAAATGGAAATAGTTTTGTTATTAGATGTAATGCTGTCTCCTTACATAATGTAATGGAAATAGTTTTGTTATTAGATGTAATGCTGTCTCATTACATAATGAAATGGAAATAGTTTTGTTATTAGATGTAATGCTGTCTCCTTACATAATGAAATGGAAATAGTTTTGTTATTAGATGTAATGCTGTCTCCTTACATAATGAAATGGAAATAGTTTTGTTATTAGATGTAATGCTGTCTCCTTACATAATGAAATGGAAATAGTTTTGTTATTAGATGTAATGCTGTCTCCTTACCTACTGTTTCAGGTGGCATAAGCTTCAATGAAGCCGTGTTCCGATTTAATGCTAATATTTCCTACAGTGGCTTGTTGCATGCAGTAACAGCTGAGGTATGTTCAACATTTCTTACTTCAAACTTTCTATACACCATTTCTTACACCCATTCTTACATCTATTTCTTACACCAATTCTCACATCCATTTATTTCTTACACCAATTCTTACATCTATTTATTTCTTACACCAATTCTTACATTTATTTATTTCTTACACCAATTCTTACATCTATTTATTTCTTACACCAATTCTTACATCTATTTATTTCTTACACCAATTCTTACATCTATTTATTTCTTACACCAATTCTTACATCTATTTATTTCTTACACCAGTTCTTACATATATTTATTTCTTACACCAATTCTTACATCTATTTATTTCTTACACCAATTCTTACATCTATTTATTTCTTAACCAGTTCTTACATTTATTTCTTACACCAATTCTTACATTTATTTATTTCTTACACCAATTCTTACATCTATTTATTTCTTACACTAGTTCTTACATCTATTTATTTCTTACAACTGTTCTTACATCTATTTATTTCTTACACCAATTCTTACATCTATTTATTTCTTACACTAGTTCTTACATCTATTTATTTCTTACACCAATTCTTACACTTATTTATTTTTTACAACAATTCTCACATCTATTTATTTCTTACACCAATTCTTACATTTATTTATTTGTTACAACAATTCTTACATCTATTTATTTCTTACACCAATTCTTTTATCTATTTATTTCTTACACCAGTTATTACATCTATTTATTTCTTACACCAATTCTTACATTTATTTATTTCTTACAACAATTCTCACATCTATTTATTTCTTACACCAATTCTTACATCTATTTCCTTCTTTGACCTATTGTTAAATTATTTAATATCTTTGAACAACGGTTACATCTGTTTACTATTTTCACCAATCTTTTTACTTTTTGGATAAATTCTTATGTGTTTACTTCTTTTGACCATTCGTTTGACTATTTTGTACAACTATTTACTTTTTTCATCATGATATTTATGGCTAGGTGTCATGTGCAGTTAGATAAAATGTACAATTATGTAGTATGATGTTTTAAATAAAACTTTACTTTAGGTAATATGTATGATTAGGTGAAATCTGTAGACAAGTTGAAAGTATTTAGGTGGGAAGAAAGTTGTGTGTAAACTGAAGATTTCTTGGTGAATGTCCAGGGTCTGTTTGCCCAAAACAAAGAGAAGCTGATAAACCTTGCGCTACAAGCATTGATTGAGAGAGAAGGTGATCAAGAGAAAGTCAGCAATGAATGTCTAGAGGCCCAGTTCCATGCCTTAAGGAGACTTGTGGCCTCTAAAGCAGGCTACCAGGGTTTTACAGAGATTCCAAAGTAAGATTTTTGTACTTAAGCAGTTCATACTTTTGATAATTTAAAAAAAAAATATTTCTGGGTTATATTAACTAATCATGTAGTTATTACTAAACATTACTAAATAAATAGATTTGGGATCAAAAGTTTCTAACGGTTATAAAATGTTATGAGAAACAAGTTTGTTTTTCTTTAAAATGGAAGTAGGAAGAAAGCTGAAAATACTAAGATAAAGGTAGAACATTTTTTACTAGTTTAGTAAAAAACTATCTGTAAAAGACCATGACTTGTGTTTTTAGTAAGCAGCGTATACCCAGCATAGATGTTTGGCAAAATAACACATAACACTAAGTTGAACTTTAAACTTAACTCTAACCACAACCAACCAAAACACAAACTAAAAAAAAAGCGCAAACAAAAACACAAACGAAAACATAAACACAAATACAAGTAGAAAAACAAATGCAAACCTATACACAAGCAATAACTCAGAAAATAATGCAAAATCAAACGCAAAAAAAAAGCAAAAATTTAAACACAAACATAAATGCATAGTGCTCACAGTATAGATCGGGGCCCCAAATCTACCGGGGCTGATTCAACTTAGTAAATGACTATAATACCCCATCTTATCCATAGTATATTGCACTCATAATACCCCATCTTATCCATAGTATATTGCACTCATAATACCCCATCTTATCCATAGTATATTGCACTCACTTAAACAAAAATAGGCGCAATAGCGCTCAATGGAAGGCCCAAATAGAGGCCCATGGGAGGAGGCCTTGTTTTTGATTTAGTGAAGGACCAAAGTAACCCTTCTTATCCATAGTCTGGATTTGATTTAGTGAAGGACCATAGTAACCCTTCTTATCCATATAAGTCTATCGTATTGTTTAAAATGAACGTAGGTACCATAGCGCTCACAGGAAGGCCCGGGGCTCCAAATAGCAACCTATCAGGGCGGCTGAGGATGCCGTAGTTTCAATTTAGTGAAGGAATATAGTAACTCTTTTTACCCACAGCTTATCACATTCTTTTAAACAAAAGCATGCATCATAGGGCTCACAGAATAGCCCACGGCGCCAAATGATTTAGTGAAGGACCATAGTAACCCTTCTTATCCTCCCCCCCTCCCTGCTTGTCAGCAAACGGAAATATAGAAGTAAACATAGAGGACATTTAGGAGTGGCTTCTAAAATGGTAAAATGTTATTGGTTAAAAATAATAATTAGTAAATAGTAAGTTCATGGTATTAAATAAATAAAAGGCAGTATTTTAAATAACTGTATTTTACTTACCACATTGCACTTTATCAATCCATGCTAATTATATAATTTTTTTTCCAACGCCAATGCATACTAATAAAAGGTATTTTTTTCCCTGATTAAAATTTTTTTTAAAGGGAAGTAAATTTTTTTTTGGTGTGATCTATCAATGTAGTAATTGGTCCTAAAGGAACAAAGAGAAGTAATTTGTACACTTTTACAATTTTTGTGAAGGGTGATACATTTTCTTCAATTTTGTTCATTCCATATGATGTTAATTAAAATGATAAGTTTGGAACATGAATCTTGTTTTGCAAAATCATCCATATTAATTTTTTTAATCATTAATTTAGATAATAAATACTTTAATAATATTACACAATGGCTATCAAGTAGAGTTTTTTTACTTATACATGTTTAACAAAACCTTCAATATTAATTAGGCATATGCTTTAGGTATATATTTGTTTGTATCACAAGTCAGTCCACCCGCCACATACAGAATTGAGCTTAATATATTAGATAAAAATAATAGAGAAAGTTAAAGACATTTTAAAACATTTTTATTTAGAATGAGAGAGAAGGTTGGATTAAAGGTGATCAAGGCTTTGAAGAGAAAAGATGATGCAATCACACATGCAGCCATTGACATGCTCTGTGCTCTAATGCAGGTATGTACTCACTTTGTGCACAAAATACCTCATCATATGTATACATTCAACACTTTGTTGTGTGCACAAAATACCTCATCATATGTATACATTCAACACTTTGTTGTGTGCACAAAATACCTCATCATATGTATACATTCAACACTTTGTTGTGTGCACAAAATACCTCATCATATGTATACATTCAACACTTTGTTGTGTGCACAAAATACCTCATCATATGTATACATTCAACACTTTGTTGTATGCACAAAATACCTCATCATATGTAAATACATTCAACACTTTGTTGTATGCACAAAATACCTCATCAGATGTATACATTCAACACTTTGTTGTGTGCACAAAATACCTCATCATGTGTATACATTCAACACTTTGTTGTATGGACAAAATACCTCATCATATGTAAATACATTCAACACTTTGTTGTGTGCACAAAATACCTCATCATATGTATACATTCAACACTTTGTTGTATGAACAAAATACCTCATCATATGTATACATTCAACACTTTGTTGTATGCACAAAATACCTCATCAGATGTATACATTCAACACTTTGTTGTATGCACAAAATACCTCATCATATGTAAATACATTCAACACTTTGTTGTATGCACAAAATACCTCATCAGATGTATACATTCAACACTTTGTTGTATACACAAAATACCTCATCATATGTAAATACATTCAACACTTTGTTGTATGCACAAAATACCTCATCATATGTAAATACATTCAACACTTTGTTGTATGCACAAAATACCTCATCAGATGTATACATTCAACACTTTGTTGTATACACATACACCATTTGTACTTTGTTGTATGTAAACTATTTCTGCCTTGTATTATCCTAGTTTTATCAACATCACCTTTATCCTTGTTTTATCCTCACATCAATACCATCTTGTCTAACTAGTTTTATCCCCACATCAATACCATCTTGTCTAACTAGTTTTATCCTCACATCAATACTATCTTGTCTAACTAGTTTTATCCTCACATCAATAGCATCTTGTCTAACTAGTTTTATCCTCACATCAATACCATCTTGTCTAACTAGTTTTATCCTCACATCAATACCATCTTGTCTAACTAGTTTTATCCTCACATCAATACCATCTTGTCTAACTAGTTTTATCCCCACATCAATACCATCTTGTCTAACTAGTTTTATCCTCACATCAATACCATCTTGTCTAACTAGTTTTATCCTCACATCAATACCATCTTGTCTAACTAGTTTTATCCCCACATCAATACTATCTTGTCTAACTAGTTTTATCCCCACATCTATACCATCTTGTCTAACTAGTTTTATCCCCACATCTATACCATCTTGTCTAACTAGTTTTATCCTCACATCAATACCATCTTGTCTAACTAGTTTTATCCCCACATCAATACTATCTTGTCTAACTAGTTTTATCCTCACATCAATACCATCTTGTCTAACTAGTTTTATCCTCACATCAATACCATCTTGTCTAACTAGTTTTATCCTCACATCAATACCATCTTGTCTAACTAGTTTTATCCTCACATCAATAGCATCTTGTCTAACTAGTTTTATCCTCACATCAATAGCATCTTGTCTAACTAGTTTTATCCCCACATCAATACCATCTTGTCTAACTAGTTTTATCCCCACATCTATACCATCTTGTCTAACTAGTTTTATCCTCACATCAATAGCAGCTAGTTTTACCCATCAAATGTTTCAGCCCATGCATGACAACTATGACCTAAGGCAGGAACAGCTCAATAAAACATCACTCATGTCTTCTAGGAAGTTTCTGGAAAGTTTGTTAGAAATGTTTAATGACCATGTGGTAAGTGCAGGATATGGTTTACTTGTGGTCCAACAGATTTCATGTGGTTTACTTGTGGTCCAACAGATTTGATGTGGTTTACTTGTGGCCCAACAGATTTGATGTGGTTTACCTGTGGTCCAACAGATTTGATGTGGTTTACTTGTGGTCCAACAGATTTGATGTGGTTTACTTGTGGCCCAACAGATTTGATGTGGTTTACCTGTGGTCCAACAGATTTGATGTGGTTTACCTGTGGCCCAACAGATTTGATGTGGTTTACCTGTGGTCCAACAGATTTGATGTGGTTTACCTGTGGCCCAACAGATTTGATGTGGTTTACCTGTGGCCCAACAGATTTGATGTGGTTTACCTGTGGCCCAACAGATTTGATGTGGTTTACCTGTGGCCCAACAGATTTGATGTGGTTTACTTGTGGCCCAACAGATTTGATGTGGTTTACCTGTGGCCCAACAGATTTGATGTGGTTTACTTGTGGCCCAACAGATTTGATGTGGTTTACCTGTGGTCCAACAGATTTGATGTGGTTTACTTGTGGCCCAACAGATTTGATGTGGTTTACCTGTAGTCCAACGGATTTGATGTTGTTTTAGTCCCAAACTTTACTGACAGAAAAGTTTTGTCAAGACTTGGAGCTAGCCTTAGTCCCAACCTTTACTGACAGAAAGTTTTGTCAAGACTTGGAGCTAGCCTTAGTCCCAACCTTTACTGACAGAAAAGTTTTGTCAAGACTTGGAGCTAGCCTTAGTCCCAACCTTTACTGACAGAAAGTTTTGTCAAGACTTGGAGCTAGCCTTAGTCCCAACCTTTACTGACAGAAAAGTTTTGTCAAGACTTGGAGCTAGCCTTAGTCCCAAACTTTACTGACAGAAAAGTTTTGTCAAGACTTGGAGCTAGCCTTAGTCCCAAACTTTACTGACAGAAAAGTTTTGTCAAGACTTGGAGCTAGCCTTAGTCCCAAACTTTACTGACAGAAAAGTTTTGTCAAGACTTGGAGCTAGCCTTAGTCCCAACCTTTACTGACAGAAGTTTTGTCAAGACTTGGAGCTAGCCTTAGTCCCAACCTTTACTGAAAGAAAAGTTTTGTCAAGACTTGGAGCTAGCCTTAGTCCCAACCTTCACTGACAGAAAAGTTTTGTCAAGACTTGGAGCTAGCCTTAGTCCCAACCTTTACTGACAGAAAAGTTATGTCAAGACTTGGAGCTAGCCTTAGTCCCAACCTTTACTGACAGAAAAGTTTTGTCAAGACTTGGAGCTAGCCTTAGTCCCAACCTTTACTGACAGAAAAGTTTTGTCAAGACTTGGAGCTAGCCTTAGTCCCAACCTTTACTGACAGAAAAGTTTTGTCAAGACTTGGAGCTAGCCTTAGTCCCAACCTTTACTGACAGAAAAGTTTTGTCAAGACTTGGAGCTAGCCTTAGTCCCAACCTTTACTGACAGAAAAGTTTTGTCAAGACTTGGAGCTAGCCTTAGTCCCAACCTTTACTGACAGAAAAGTTTTGTCAAGACTTGGAGCTAGCCTTAGTCCCAACCTTTACTGACAGAAAAGTTTTGTCAAGACTTGGAGCTAGCCTTAGTCCCAACCTTTACTGACAGAAAAGTTTTGTCAAGACTTGGAGCTAGCCTTAGTCCCAACCTTTACTGACAGAAAAGTTTTGTCAAGACCTCGAGCTAGCCTTAGTCCCAACCTTTACTGACAGAAAAGTTTTGTCAAGACTTGGAGCTAGCCTTAGTCCCAACCTTTACTGACAGAAAAGTTTTGTCAAGACTTGGAGCTAGCCTTAGTCCCAACCTTTACTGACAGAAAAGTTTTGTCAAGACTTGGAGCTAGCCTTAGTCCCAACCTTTACTGACAGAAAAGTTTTGTCAAGACTTGGAGCTAGCCTTAGTCCCAACCTTTACTGACAGAAAAGTTTTGTCAAGACTTGGAGCTAGCCTTAGTCCCAACCTTTACTGACAGAAAAGTTTTGTCAAGACTTGGAGCTAGCCTTAGTCCCAACCTTTACTGACAGAAAAGTTTTGTCAAGACTTGGAGCTAGCCTTAGTCCTAACCTTTACTGACAGAAAAGTTTTGTCAAGACTTGGAGCTAGCCTTAGTCCCAACCTTTACTGACAGAAAAGTTTTGTCAAGACTTGGAGCTAGCCTTAGTCCCAACCTTTACTGACAGAAAAGTTTTGTCAAGACTTGGAGCTAGCCTTAGTCCCAAACTTTACTGACAGAAAAGTTTTGTCAAGACTTGGAGCTAGCCTTAGTCCCAACCTTTACTGACAAAAAAGTTTTGTCAAGACTTGGAGCTAGCCTTAGTCCCAACCTTTACTGACAGGTCCACAACACTGGAGCTCTAGTCATTGCAGCCATGTTGGACTTTTTGACCTTTGCCCTGTGTGCACCTTACAGTGAGACAACAGATGGCAGCCAATTTGATTCTTTGTTAGAAATGGTTGCAGCCAATGGCAGAGTTGTTTTCAAATTGTTTCAGGTAGGTCACTGCTAATCCCTCTTTTTCCATGTTTGTTACTTGCTAAACTTTGTATAGAGCGTTAGCTATCTCTATCCAATCTACTACTGTGACAAGTACCTATAGGACAGCTCTCTATGTGACGTCATTAGCTAAACCTGTGTGCCTTTTGTCTCATTAGATAAGTATTTGACACACTCCTGTGTTGAAATGACTTTAAAAATTTCTTGACTGAAAGACTCCTGTGTTGAAATGACTTTAAAAATTTCTTGACTGAAAGACTGCTGTGTTGAAATGACTTTAAAAATTTCTTGACTGAAAGACTGCTGTGTTGAAATGACTTTAAAAATTTCTTGACTGAAAGACTGCTGTGTTGAAATGACTTTAAAAATTTCTTGACTGAAAGACTGCTGTGTTGAAATGACTTTAAAAATTTCTTGACTGAAAGACTGCTGTGTTGAAATGTTTATTTTGATGTTTATCTTTCCTCCAGCACCCATCAATGGCTATTGTAAAAGGTGCAGGCTTAGTTATGAAAGCCATTATTGAGGTGAGTTGCGTTGTTTAAACATTGAAGGCTGTTCACAGCTACTGTTTTAACAAAGCCATCATTTGGTTTAGCAATGAGTGTTTTAAGAAAGCCATTTGATCATACAGGAAGGAGATGCTGAGATTGCAGCTAAAATGCAAGACCTGGCTTTATCAGAAGGCGCTTTGCCAAAACATTTGCACACTGCCATGTTCACACAGAGCACAGACAGTAGGATGCTTACCAATAGGTCAGTTCACATGACTGACCAACTGGTTAGACAAGCTAGCACATGACTGACCAACTGGTTAGACAAGCTAGCACATGACTGACCAACTGGTTAGACAAGCTAGCACATGACTGACCAACTGGTTAGACAAGCTAGCACATGACTGACCAACTGGTTAGACAAGCTAGCACATGACTGACCAACTGGTTAGACAAGCTAGCACATGACTGACCAACTGGTTAGACAAGCTAGCACATGACTGACCAACTGGTTAGACAAGCTAGCACATGACTGACCAACTGGTTAGACAAGCTAGCACATGACTGACCAACTGGTTAGACAAGCTAGCACATGACTGACCAACTGGTTAGACAAGCTAGCACATGACTGACCAACTGGTTAGACAAGCTAGCACATGACTGACCAACTGGTTAGACAAGCTAGCACATGACTGACCAACTGGTTAGACAAGCTAGCACATGACTGACCAACTGGTTAGACAAGCTAGCACATGACTGACCAACTGGTTAGACAAGCTAGCACATGACTGACCAACTGGTTAGACAAGCTAGCACATGACTGACCAACTGGTTAGACAAGCTAGCACATGACTGACCAACTGGTTAGACAAGCTAGCACATGACTGACCAACTGGTTAGACAAGCTAGCACATGACTGACCAACTGGTTAGACAAGCTAGCACATGACTGACCAACTGGTTAGACAAGCTAGCACATGACTGACCAACTGGTTAGACAAGCTAGCACATGACTGACCAACTAGTTAGACAAGCTAGCACATGACTGACCAACTGGTTAGACAAGCTAGCACATGACTGACCAACTGGTTAGACAAGCTAGCACATGACTGACCAACTGGTTAGACAAGCTAGCACATGACTGACCAACTGGTTAGACAAGCTAGCACATGACTGACCAACTGGTTAGACAAGCTAGCACATGACTGACCAACTGGTTAGACAAGCTAGCACATGACTGACCAACTGGTTAGACTATCTCTAGCAAATGACAAACCAATTTGAGGTCATTTCTTTCTCAATTTATTTCCTATACTTAGGCAGCTGAGTCGTCATTTAGTTGGGTTATGGGTCACTGGTCATCCAACAGCCATGGGACTTTTAAAACGAATTTTGGTAAGTGTTAACACACAAAAAGGTGCTCTAAGTTATCATATTTTGGTAATTGTTAGCACAGAGTGTTCTAAGTTAGATTATCATATTTTCTTCTATATTTATTCTATGGCTTGTAAATGTCAGTCTATGGCTTATGTGTGTCATTCTATGGTTTGTAAATGTCAGACTTTCTCACTTCAAATTTGAAATCTCGTTGGCCAGGGAGTAGAATAAATTTTCCAACTACATTAACTGTTTTGAACATGACTCCCATAGATGACAAAAAAACATGGCGGCTATTTGTTTTTAGGCCTTGCTTCAAGATTTTAAATACCAAGAGTACCCAAAATGCAACAGTTATAAAAAATACTAATAATAGAATTAAAATAAGTACTGGTAGGCCTAGGCTTTTAATATTGTAACTATGTTTGGGACAACTTTTTACGGATTTGAAAAATAATAACAAACTGCAGGTTACTTTTATAAAATTAAAAGAAATCACAATTTGACTTAGGCTAGCCTACATCTTGTAATCTAGCATTATCATTGTTAACAATAATGGAAGTAACTTTTCTATTTTTATTTTTTTACCAATTTAACAAAAGTATTCATATTTGGTTTGAAAAAAAAAACTAGCCGGCAAGTATGACAACATGAAGGTGGTGATCTACTTAAAAACCATATTCTATACAACCAGCATAAAAAGTTTTCAATCAGTTCTAATTTACTCTAGTCTAGGCCTGAATAATGATACAGGGCGTCACAGTCTAGGCCTATATGTTGATAAATAGCATCACAGTCTAGGCCTATATGTTGATACATGGCCTATATGTTTATACATGGTGTCACAGTCTAGGCCTATATGTTGATACATGGCCTATATGTTTATACATGATGTCACAGTCTAGGCCTATATGTTGATACATGGCCTATATGTTTATACATGGTGTCACAGTATAGGATTATATGTTGATACATGGCCTATATGTTTATACATGGTGTCACAGTCTAGGGAAGCCAATAGGGATGTCTTGGGAGATGTCAAAATTAATAGCCGAGGATAGGAAGAAATGGAAGGAAATGGTGGAGGCCCTATGCTCCATAAGGAGCAAAGAGGACTAAGTGAAGTGTGAAGTGAAGTGTCACAGTCTAGGCCTATATGTTGATACATGGCCTATATGTTTATACATGGTGTCACAGTCACCACCCTTGATTCTGTCCACTTCCACGTCACCACCCTTGATTCTGTCCACTTCCACGTCACCACCCTTGATTCTGTCCACTTCCAAAACCCAAGTCACCACCCTTGATTCTGTCCACTTCCATGTCACCACCCTTGATTCTGTCCACTTCCAAAACCCACGTCACCACCCTTGATTCTGTCCACTTCCAAAACCCAAGTCACCACCCTTGATTCTGTCCACTTCCACGTCACCACCCTTGATTCTGTCCACTTCCAAAACCCAAGTCACCACCCTTGATTCTGTCCACTTCCAAAACCCAAGTCACCACCCTTGATTCTGTCCACTTCCACGTCACCACCCTTGATTCTGTCCACTTCCATGTCACCACCCTTGATTCTGTCCACTTCCACGTCACCACCCTTGATTCTGTCCACTTCCAAAACCCAAGTCACCACCCTTGATTCTGTCCACTTCCAAAACCCAAGTCACCACCCTTGATTCTGTCCACTTCCACGTCACCACCCTTGATTCTGTCCACTTCCATGTCACCACCCTTGATTCTGTCCACTTCCACGTCACCACCCTTGATTCTGTCCACTTCCACGTCACCACCCTTGATTCTGTCCACTTCCAAAACCCAAGTCACCACCCTTGATTCTGTCCACTTCCAAAACCCAAGTCACCACCCTTGATTCTGTCCACTTCCACGTCACCACCCTTGATTCTGTCCACTTCCATGTCACCACCCTTGATTCTGTCCACTTCCACGTCACCACCCTTGATTCTGTCCACTTCCACGTCACCACCCTTGATTCTGTCCACTTCCAAAACCCAAGTCACCACCCTTGATTCTGTCCACTTCCAAAACCCAAGTCACCACCCTTGATTCTGTCCACTTCCACGTCACCACCCTTGATTCTGTCCACTTCCATGTCACCACCCTTGATTCTGTCCACTTCCACGTCACCACCCTTGATTCTGTCCACTTCCAAAACCCAAGTCACCACCCTTGATTCTGTCCACTTCCAAAACCCAAGTCACCACCCTTGATTCTGTCCACTTCCACGTCACCACCCTTGATTCTGTCCACTTCCATGTCACCACCCTTGATTCTGTCCACTTCCACGTCACCACCCTTGATTCTGTCCACTTCCACGTCACCACCCTTGATTCTGTCCACTTCCAAAACCCAAGTCACCACCCTTGATTCTGTCCACTTCCAAAACCCAAGTCACCACCCTTGATTCTGTCCACTTCCACGTCACCACCCTTGATTCTGTCCACTTCCATGTCACCACCCTTGATTCTGTCCACTTCCACGTCACCACCCTTGATTCTGTCCACTTCCACGTCACCACCCTTGATTCTGTCCACTTCCAAAACCCAAGTCACCACCCTTGATTCTGTCCACTTCCAAAACCCAAGTCACCACCCTTGATTCTGTCCACTTCCACGTCACCACCCTTGATTCTGTCCACTTCCATGTCACCACCCTTGATTCTGTCCACTTCCACATCACCACCCTTGATTCTGTCCACTTCCATGTCACCACCCTTGATTCTGTCCACTTCCACATCACCACCCTTGATTCTGTCCACTTCCAAAACCCAAGTCACCATCCTTGATTCTGTCCACTTCCATGTCACCACCCTTGATTCTGTCCACTTCCATGTCACCACCCTTGATTCTGTCCACTTCCATGTCACCACCCTTGATTCTGTCCACTTCCATGTCACCACCCTTGATTCTGTCCACTTCCAAAACCCAAGTCACCACCCTTGATTCTGTCCACTTCCATGTCACCACCCTTGATTCTGTCCACTTCCATGTCACCACCCTTGATTCTGTCCACTTCCAAAACCCAAGTCACCACCCTTGATTCTGTCCACTTCCACGTCACCACCCTTGATTCTGTCCACTTCCATGTCACCACCCTTGATTCTGTCCACTTCCACATCACCACCCTTGATTCTGTCCACTTCCATGTCACCACCCTTGATTCTGTCCACTTCCACATCACCACCCTTGATTCTGTCCACTTCCAAAACCCAAGTCACCACCCTTGATTCTGTCCACTTCCATGTCACCACCCTTGATTCTGTCCACTTCCACATCACCACCCTTGATTCTGTCCACTTCCATGTCACCACCCTTGATTCTGTCCACTTCCAAAACCCAAGTCACCACCCTTGATTCTGTCCACTTCCATGTCACCACCCTTGATTCTGTCCACTTCCAAAACCCAAGTCACCACCCTTGATTCTGTCCACTTCCAAAACCCAAGTCACCACCCTTGATTCTGTCCACTTCCACATCACCACCCTTGATTCTGTCCACTTCCAAAACCCAAGTCACCACCCTTGATTCTGTCCACTTCCACATCACCACCCTTGATTCTGTCCACTTCCAAAACCCAAGTCACCACCCTTGATTCTGTCCACTTCCATGTCACCACCCTTGATTCTGTCCACTTCCACGTCACCACCCTTGATTCTGTCCACTTCCAAAACCCAAGTCACCACCCTTGATTCTGTCCACTTCCAAAACCCAAGTCACCACCCTTGATTCTGTCCACTTCCACGTCACCACCCTTGATTCTGTCCACTTCCAAAACCCACGTCACCACCCTTGATTCTGTCCACTTCCAAAACCCAAGTCACCACCCTTGATTCTGTCCACTTCCAAAACCCAAGTCACCACCCTTGATTCTGTCCACTTCCACGTCACCACCCTTGATTCTGTCCACTTCCAAAACCCAAGTCACCACCCTTGATTCTGTCCACTTCCACATCACCACCCTTGATTCTGTCCACTTCCAAAACCCAAGTCACCACCCTTGATTCTGTCCACTTCCATGTCACCACCCTTGATTCTGTCCACTTCCACGTCACCACCCTTGATTCTGTCCACTTCCAAAACCCAAGTCACCACCCTTGATTCTGTCCACTTCCATGTCACCACCCTTGATTCTGTCCACTTCCAAAACCCAAGTCACCACCCTTGATTCTGTCCACTTCCAAAACCCAAGTCACCACCCTTGATTCTGTCCACTTCCACGTCACCACCCTTGATTCTGTCCACTTCCAAAACCCACGTCACCACCCTTGATTCTGTCCACTTCCAAAACCCAAGTCACCACCCTTGATTCTGTCCACTTCCAAAACCCAAGTCACCACCCTTGATTCTGTCCACTTCCACGTCACCACCCTTGATTCTGTCCACTTCCAAAACCCAAGTCACCACCCTTGATTCTGTCCACTTCCACGTCACCACCCTTGATTCTGTCCACTTCCAAAACCCAAGTCACCACCCTTGATTCTGTCCACTTCCAAAACCCACAACTATATAATGACTTGTGCAACACTGCGGGTCAGCTCATGTATTTAATTTCTTTATTCCAAATATTTGAAGGCTATCTTACTGCTATGTTTTTACTACTCAATTGCTTTATTCCAAATATTTGAAGGCTATGTTACTGCTATGTTTTTACGACTCAATTTCTTTATTCCAAATATTTGAAGGCTATGTTACTGCTATGTTTTTACGACTCAATTTCTTTATTCCAAATATTTGAAGGCTATCTTACTGCTATGTTTTTACTACTCAATTGCTTTTTATTGCAATGCTGTTATTATGGTGTTGTTTTTTTTTTTTTTGAACGGCCAGTGTGAAAAAAGGCCTGAGTGCCTACTGTTGTTACCGTTATTGAATAAATAAATGAATAAATGTGGTTTCAATTGTTCTGTTTTAGTCTAAGTGTACATGTTACATTTATTCTTGTTGCTTCTCTGTATTTAACAGTAATGTGCTCTAATATTCTACCAGCCCACAGGTCTGATGACCTATCTTGACTCCACTGATGATGTCCCAGTTTCTGAGACTGACCGCCTACATATACGGGATAATGTCAAGCTAGCTCAGGTATGTAGACAGTAGTATCTGATGAGCTCAGGTAAATAGACTGTAGTATCTGATGAGCTCAGGTAAATAGACTGTAGTGTCTGATGAGCTCAGGTAATTAGACTGTAGTATCTGATGAGCTCAGGTATGTAGACAGTAGTATCTGATGAGCTCAGGTAAATAGACAGTAGTATCTGATGAGCTCAGGTAATTAGACTGTAGTATCTGATGAGCTCAGGTAATTAGACTGTAGTATCTGATGAGCTCAGGTAATTAGACTGTAGTATCTGATGAGCTCAGGTAATTAGACTGTAGTATCTGATGAGCTCAGGTAATTAGACTGTAGTATCTGATGAGCTCAGGTAATTAGACTGTAGTATCTGATGAGCTCAGGTAAATAGACTGTAGTATCTGATGAGCTCAGGTATGTAGACTAGTCTGATGAGCTCAGGTAAATAGACTAGTGTCTGATGAGCTCAGGTAAATAGACTGTAGTATCTGATGAGCTCAGGTAAATAGACTGTAGTATCTGATGAGCTCAGGTAATTAGACTAGTATCTGATGAGCTCAGGTAAATAGACTGTAGTATCTGATGAGCTCAGGTAATTAGACTGTAGTATCTGATGAGCTCAGGTAATTAGACTGTAGTATCTGATGAGCTCAGGTAATTAGACTGTAGTATCTGATGAGCTCAGGTAAATAGACTGTAGTATCTGATGAGCTCAGGTATGTAGACTAGTCTGATGAGCTCAGGTAAATAGACTAGTGTCTGATGAGCTCAGGTAAATAGACTGTAGTATCTGATGAGCTCAGGTAAATAGACTGTAGTATCTGATGAGCTCAGGTAATTAGACTAGTATCTGATGAGCTCAGGTAAATAGACTGTAGTATCTGATGAGCTCAGGTAAATAGACTGTAGTATCTGATGAGCTCAGGTAAATAGACTGTAGTGTCTGATGAGCTCAGGTAAATAGACTGTAGTATCTGATGAGCTCAGGTAAATAGACTGTAGTATCTGATGAGCTCAGGTAAATAGACTGTAGTGTCTGATGAGCTCAGGTATGTAGACTAGTCTGATGAGCTCAGGTAAATAGACAGTAGTATCTGATGAGCTCAGGTAAATAGACTGTAGTATCTGATGAGCTCAGGTATGATGTAGACTGTAGTAAAGTCTGAAAAAGAAAATTTGATTCATTCATAGAAGAGCAGTCCATTGTTTCATTAAAATTGTCTTCTTGTTACAGGACCATTTTAACAAGAATAAACGTAACCAACAGCTCCTTCTGCTTGAAAAAAAAATTGATAACTTGCTCCAGCACTGGAGATCCCGCATAGGTCTTGATAATAAACAGGTGAGATTTCTGTGCTTTTCATTTGATTATGATAATAAACAGGTGAAGTTTCTGTGCTTTTTATTTGATCATGACAATAAACAGGTTTTGTTATTCAAACATGTTTTTTGTACAAACATACTTTAGTAGTTAAAAAACATGTGTTTTATTAACAAAAAGATGTGTATTATTAAACCATTTTCTGTGTATACCAATGTATTCTCTGCAAGTATTTGTTTTGTACACACCTTTCTTACATTTGTAGCAGCAAAATGAAAAGCCAATAGTGCTGAGAAAAAGAAGACAAAGGATCAAAAGTGAAGCCAATTGGCCCTTATTTTACTACTACTTTAATCAGGTAAATGGTTTGGTACACTAACCTTGTATTTGACTGTCTCAAAGGATCGCATGGTGTATAGACTCCACACTTTCAATGCCCTATTGCGTCTTTATTAGCTTTACACTATCTCAGTGTCAAATACATGGTTACTGATCCCATATGAGTGTCAAATACATGGTTACTGGTCCCATACGAGTGTCAAATACATGGTTACTGGTCCCATACGAGTGTCAAATAAATGGTTACTGATCCCATATGAGTGTCAAATACATGGTTACTGGTATCATGTGACTGTCAAATACATGGTTACTGGTATCATGTGACTGTCAAATACAAGCTAGAAGAATAAAGATTGAACAAGCTAATCATACTAATGCAACTGCCTTCACTTGCCTTTATCATCAACAAAAAGAAAGATGTGGAGGAAACTGAACTTACTTACCCCATTAAGATAACCTGTTTAGAACTTTATCAATCAATGATAAACTGAACTTACCACATTATGATAAACTGTTCAGAATCTTATCAATCAAAGATAAACTGAACTTACCACATTAAGATAAACTGTTTAGAACTTTATCAATCAATGATAAACTGAACTTACCACATTAAGATAAACTGTTTAGAATCTTATCAATCAAAGATAAACTAAGCTTACCACATTCAGATAAGCTGTTTAGAACTTTATCAATCAATGATAAACTGAACTTACCACATTAAGATAAACTGTTTAGAATCTTATCAATCAAAGATAAACTGAGCTTACCACATTCAGATAAGCTGTTTAGAACTTTATCAATCAATGATAAACTGAACTTACCACATTAAGATAAGCTGTTTAGAACTTTATCAATCAATGATAAACTGAACTTACCACATTAAGATAAGCTATTTAGAACTTTATCAGTCAATGATAAACTGAACTTACCACATTAAGATAAGCTATTTAGAACTTTATCAATAAATGATAAACTGAACTTACCACATTTACCCCTTTACCATGTGTCACGAGTTAACTCGTCATATAAAATCTTGTGCTTAACTGCACATCACGAGTTAACTCGTCTTCAGATAAAAAAGTCGTCTGTGTGCCATGCGTCCCAAGTTAACTCGTCTTGATACGAAAATAGCATTGGAAATCAATAACAATGTAGAGGGAGGCTAATCTAACAGCCAATTCAACAGCGGATGATAAAAATAGGTCATCACGTGATGTGAAAACGAAAGTGGGAAAAAAAACAATTACACGGTTAACAAAAAAAAAAAAAAAACATTTCACGATAAAGGGGTTAAGATAAGCTGTTTAGAACCTTATCAATCAATGATAAACTGAACTTACCACATTAATATAACCTGTTTAGAACTTTATCAATCAATGATAAACTGAACTTACCACATTAAGATAAGCTGTTTAGAACTTTATCAATCAAAGATAAACTGAACTTACCACATTAAGATAAGCTGTTTAGAACTTTATCAATCAATGATAAACTGAACTTACCACATTAAGATAAGCTGTTTAGAACTTTATCAATCAATGATAAGCTGAACTTACTTACCACATTCAGATAAGCTGTTTAGAATCTTATCAATCAATGATAAACTGAACTAACCCTCAATTGATCCTGTTCTATTGTAGGATCATTCCAAGCCCAACTTGATATGGAACTATAAGACTAGAGAAGAATTGCGTGAGAGTTTAGAGAATGAAATGAGAGCCTTCAGTGTGGATAAAGAATTGGGTGCCACCTTTATTGTAGGCTGGAACCACACAGAGTTTGAGGTGCCATACCACTGTCTAGCTGATGAAATCAAAATAGGTCAGTCACACACGCTTTAGATTATACACTTATCTTAAAATGATATTAGGATAGAGCTCACAGAAAGGGGTTAGGATTATCCACTTATTTTTTGATATATGATATATCTGAGAGTATCCACTTATTGTGTCTGTAGGTGACTACTACCTAAGGCTTGTGATATATATCTAAGTGTATCCACTTATTGTGTCTGTAGGTGACTACTACCTAAGGCTTGTGATATATATCTGAGAGTATCCACTTATTGTGTCTTTAGGTGACTACTACCTAAGGCTTGTGATATATGATATATCTGAGTGTATCCACTTATTGTGTCTGTAGGTGACTACTACCTAAGGCTTGTGATATATATCTGAGTGTATCCACTTATTGTGTCTGTAGGTGACTACTACCTAAGGCTTGTGATATATATCTGAGAGTATCCACTTATTGTGTCTGTAGGTGACTACTACCTAAGGCTTGTGATATATATCTGAGAGTATCCACTTATTGTGTCTGTAGGTGACTACTACCTAAGGCTTGTGATATATATCTGAGTGTATCCACTTATTGTGTCTGTAGGTGACTACGACCTAAGGCTTGTGATATATATCTGAGTGTATCCACTTATTGTGTCTGTAGGTGACTACTACCTAAGGCTTGTGATATATATCTGAGTGTATCCACTTATTGTGTCTGTAGGTGACTACTACCTAAGGCTTTTGATATATATCTGAGTGTATCCACTTATTGTGTCTGTAGGTGACTACTACCTAAAGCTTGTGATATATGATATATCTGAGTGTATCCACTTATTGTGTCTGTAGGTGACTACTACCTAAAGCTTGTGATATATGATATATCTGAGAGTATCCACTTATTGTGTCTGTAGGTGACTACTACCTAAGGCTTGTGATATATATCTGAGAGTATCCACTTATTGTGTCTGTAGGTGACTTCTACCTAAAGCTTGTGATATATATCTGAGAGTATCCACTTATTGTGTCTGTAGGTGACTACTACCTAAGGCTTGTGATATATATCTGAGTGTATCCACTTATTGTGTCTGTAGGTGACTACTACCTAAGGCTTGTGATATATATCTGAGAGTATCCACTTATTGTGTCTTTAGGTGACTACTACCTAAGGCTTGTGATATATGATATATCTGAGTGTATCCACTTATTGTGTCTGTAGGTGACTACTACCTAAGGCTTGTGATATATATCTGAGTGTATCCACTTATTGTGTCTGTAGGTGACTACTACCTAAGGCTTGTGATATATATCTGAGTGTATCCACTTATTGTGTCTGTAGGTGACTACTACCTAAGGCTTGTGATATATATCTGAGAGTATCCACTTATTGTGTCTGTAGGTGACTACTACCTAAGGCTTGTGATATATATCTGAGTGTATCCACTTATTGTGTCTGTAGGTGACTACTACCTAAGGCTTGTGATATATATCTGAGAGTATCCACTTATTGTGTCTTTAGGTGACTACTACCTAAGGCGTGTGATATATATCTGAGTGTATCCACTTATTGTGTCTGTAGGTGACTACTACCTAAGTCTTGTGATATATATCTGAGTGTATCCACTTATTGTGTCTGTAGGTGACTACTACCTAAGGCTTGTGATATATATCTGAGTGTATCCACTTATTGTGTCTGTAGGTGACTACGACCTAAGGCTTGTGATATATATCTGAGTGTATCCACTTATTGTGTCTGTAGGTGACTACTACCTAAGGCTTGTGATATATATCTGAGTGTATCCACTTATTGTGTCTGTAGGTGACTACTACCTAAGGCTTTTGATATATATCTGAGTGTATCCACTTATTGTGTCTGTAGGTGACTACTACCTAAAGCTTGTGATATATGATATATCTGAGTGTATCCACTTATTGTGTCTGTAGGTGACTACTACCTAAAGCTTGTGATATATGATATATCTGAGAGTATCCACTTATTGTGTCTGTAGGTGACTACTACCTAAGGCTTGTGATATATATCTGAGAGTATCCACTTATTGTGTCTGTAGGTGACTTCTACCTAAAGCTTGTGATATATATCTGAGAGTATCCACTTATTGTGTCTGTAGGTGACTACTACCTAAGGCTTGTGATATATATCTGAGTGTATCCACTTATTGTGTCTGTAGGTGACTACTACCTAAGGCTTGTGATATATATCTGAGAGTATCCACTTATTGTGTCTTTAGGTGACTACTACCTAAGGCTTGTGATATATGATATATCTGAGTGTATCCACTTATTGTGTCTGTAGGTGACTACTACCTAAGGCTTGTGATATATATCTGAGTGTATCCACTTATTGTGTCTGTAGGTGACTACTACCTAAGGCTTGTGATATATATCTGAGAGTATCCACTTATTGTGTCTTTAGGTGACTACTACCTAAGGCGTGTGATATATATCTGAGTGTATCCACTTATTGTGTCTGTAGGTGACTACTACCTAAGTCTTGTGATATATATCTGAGTGTATCCACTTATTGTGTCTGTAGGTGACTACTACCTAAGGCTTGTGATATATATCTGAGTGTATCCACTTATTGTGTCTGTAGGTGACTACTACCTAAGTCTTGTGATATATATCTGAGTGTATCCACTTATTGTGTCTGTAGGTGACTACTACCTAAGGCTTGTGATATATATCTGAGTGTATCCACTTATTGTGTCTGTAGGTGACTACTACCTAAGGCTTGTGATATATATCTGAGGGTATCCACTTATTGTGTCTGTAGGTGACTACTACCTAAGGCTTGTGATATATATCTGAGTGTATCCACTTATTGTGTCTGTAGGTGACTACTACCTAAGGCTTGTGATATATATCTGAGTGTATCCACTTATTGTGTCTGTAGGTGACTACTACCTAAGGCTTGTGATATATATCTGAGTGTATCCACTTATTGTGTCTGTAGGTGACTACTACCTAAGGCTTGTGATATATATCTGAGTGTATCCACTTATTGTGTCTGTAGGTGACTACTACCTAAGGCTTGTGATATATATCTGAGTGTATCCACTTATTGTGTCTGTAGGTGACTACTACCTAAGGCTTGTGATATATATCTGAGTGTATCCACTTATTGTGTCTGTAGGTGACTACTACCTAAGGCTTGTGATATATATCTGAGTGTATCCACTTATTGTGTCTGTAGGTGACTACTACCTAAGGCTTGTGATATATATCTGAGTGTATCCACTTATTGTGTCTGTAGGTGACTACTACCTAAGGCTTGTGATATATATCTGAGTGTATCCACTTATTGTGTCTGTAGGTGACTACTACCTAAGGCTTGTGATATATATCTGAGTGTATCCACTTATTGTGTCTGTAGGTGACTACTACCTAAGGCTTGTGATATATATCTGAGTGTATCCACTTATTGTGTCTGTAGGTGACTACTACCTAAGGCTTGTGATATATATCTGAGTGTATCCACTTATTGTGTCTGTAGGTGACTACTACCTAAGGCTTGTGATATATATCTGAGTGTATCCACTTATTGTGTCTGTAGGTGACTACTACCTAAGGCTTGTGATATATATCTGAGTGTATCCACTTATTGTGTCTGTAGGTGACTACTACCTAAGGCTTGTGATATATATCTGAGTGTATCCACTTATTGTGTCTGTAAGACTACTACCTAAGGCTTGTGATATATATCTGAGTGTATCCACTTATTGTGTCTGTAGGTGACTACTACCTAAGGCTTGTGATATATATCTGAGTGTATCCACTTATTGTGTCTGTAGGTGACTACTACCTAAGGCTTGTGATATATATCTGAGTGTATCCACTTATTGTGTCTGTAGGTGACTACTACCTAAGGCTTGTGATATATATCTGAGTGTATCCACTTATTGTGTCTGTAGGTGACTACTACCTAAGGCTTGTGATATATATCTGAGTGTATCCACTTATTGTGTCTGTAGGTGACTACTACCTAAGGCTTGTGATATATATCTGAGTGTATCCACTTATTGTGTCTGTAGGTGACTACTACCTAAGGCTTGTGATATATATCTGAGAGTATCCACTTATTGTGTCTGTAGGTGACTACTACCTAAGGCTTGTGATATATATCTGAGTGTATCCACTTATTGTGTCTGTAGGTGACTACTACCTAAGGCGTGTGATATATATCTGAGTGTATCCACTTATTGTGTCTGTAGGTGACTACTACCTAAGGCTTGTGATATATATCTAAGAGTATCCACTTATTGTGTCTGTAGGTGACTACTACCTAAGGCTTGTGATATATATCTGAGTGTATCCACTTATTGTGTCTGTAGGTGACTACTACCTAAGGCTTGTGATATATATCTGAGTGTATCCACTTATTGTGTCTGTAGGTGACTACTACCTAAGGCTGCTGCTTGAAGAAGATGACGATGAAGCTTCAGAAGAAACCAGTGCTATCAAAAAGTCGTGAGTTATGTTTGAAAACATATCTATTCATTATATTCCCCTATGGGTTAGGGTTAGGGTTAGGGTTAGTGAGTCATCTTTGAAAACATATCTATTCATTATATTCCCCTATGGGTTAGGGTTAGGGTTAGGGTTAGGGTTAGTGAGTCATGTTTGAAAACATATCTATTCATTATATTCCCCTATGCATATTATTCTAGTTTTGATGAATGCTACTATTACACCTCTAGTTAATGTAATTATTGTTTTGTCTTCTGTCCTTTCAAAGATACGAGTTTTTCAATGACCTTTACCATCGTTTCCTGCTGACCCCCAAAATTCCAATGAAGTGTATGTGCCTGCAAGCTATGGCTATAGTCTATGGCAGATGTCATGAGGAGATTGGTGCTTTCAATGATACCAGATACATAGTTGGCATGTTGGACAGGGTAAGTCTGTGATACCAGATACATGTTGGACAGGGTAAGTCTGTGATACCAGATACATGTTGGACAGGGTAAGTCTGTGATACCAGATACATGTTGGACAGGGTAAGTCTGTGATACCAGATACATGTTGGACAGGGTAAGTCTGTGATACCAGATACATGTTGGACAGGGTAAGTCTGTGATACCAGATACATGTTGGACAGGATAAGTCTGTGATACCAGATACATGTTGGACAGGGTAAGTCTGTGATACCAGATACATGTTGGACAGGGTAAGTCTGTGATACCAGATACATGTTGGACAGGGTAAGTCTGTGATACCAGATACACGTTGGACAGGGTAAGTCTGTGATACCAGATACATGTTGGACAGGGTAAGTCTGTGATACCAGATACATGTTGGACAGGGTAAGTCTGTGATACCAGATACATGTTGGACAGGGTAAGTCTGTGATACCAGATACATGTTGGACAGGGTAAGTCTGTGATACCAGATACACGTTGGACAGGGTAAGTCTGTGATACCAGATACATGTTGGACAGGGTAAGTCTGTGATACCAGATACATGTTGGACAGGGTAAGTCTGTGATACCAGATACACGTTGGACAGGGTAAGTCTGTGATACCAGATACACGTTGGACAGGGTAAGTCTGTGATACCAGATACATGTTGGACAGGGTAATCAATACTAGTTGTGTATATTCACTTGGTGTATTTATGGATGTCTTTATCCACTGGTCTCCAGTGCACGGACAAGCTAGAACGTGATCGTCTGATTCTCTTCCTCAACAAACTCATCCTGGACCAAAGAAATGTCAAAGAACTTATGGATGCCAATGGTGTGAAAACTTTAGTGGACCTCTTGACCATTGCCCACCTGCACACAACAAGAGCAACTGTCCCGTTACAGGTTAAGAATCTCAATCTTTCTTACATGCTATTTATATATATATATATTCTACTAAAACTCAAGTTTGTTTACAAGTGTGTATATTTATTTATTTTTTTTTTTTTTTGTTTGTCTGTTCCCCTAGATGAGAACATCTGCCTATGTGTAGAACTGTAATATACATATTTATGTTGAGAAAAATGTTCTTTTTCCCCCAAATATTAAATATTATTTAAAGATGATAATTAATTTATCCATATATTCATTTGTAGAAACACCCCTTTAAAAGTTCAGAACAAAAAGTAACTTTCAAAGGGAACTATAGTGTCATCACTTGAAACAAATAGGATATTTTCAAAATTAAACAAAACTTGTAGGCCCAAAGTTTTAACATTGGAAAAGTATACACAATAATGATGAGTAAAAAATTATTTAAACTCTAATGCAAAAACAATAAACAATAATAATGACATCATCAAAACTTGGTTATAAAGACACTAACATTGCTGCCTAATTTATTTGTTGAATCATAAAAGTGGTCTGCATGCAGAACTTCTTTCCAAATTCTTTATTTGCTTATTTTTTCATGTCTGAGGAAAGTAGGCCAAACTAAATTTAATTACTTATAAAGGAAAACAAGTATAAAAACTATTTTAGTCCTTAAATATTTGATATTAATCTTTGTTTTTTAGCTTCACAGATCATTTAATTAGATGATAAAATGAATTTATCTAGAACAACAGATAAACAAGACTTAAGCCATGTTTCATCTATCTATGAACAAGTAGAGAATCTATATAGATTCTAGATCTAGAATCTAGCTCACTCACACAATGAATAATTGAGTTTCTTTACTAAACTATCTCAGGCCTTAAATATTTTATATTAATCTTTGTTTATTTTTTTAGCAAAGGAATTGGCTAAATTAGGGTATAATTCAATTTAAAATAATATTTGCATAATTTAACTTTATGGCATAGAGTAGTCTTTCAATTTTCACTCAATGGTATGTGCCTAGCTGGCTGAGATGCTAATGTAATAGTAACCATGTAGATGGTATGTGCCTAGCTGGCTGAGATGCTAATGTAATAGTAACCATGTAGATGGTATGGGTTCAAAACACATCATTTCAGTCTGAAATATTTTTGTTTTTATCACAACACGTGATTGGTTCTAATTCATTATTATTAGTTGGACCTTAGCTTTCATAATTTATTCATTTATTATTAATATGAAGTTCAAGCTCAGAAAATATTATAGAAAGAAATCGATGTTTTTAAAAGGCAAAAACATGTAATTGTAAGCTGAGGTGTGACTTCTTTTTAGATGTAAATGATAAAGTTGCCTTTTTGGCGTGGTGCTAGATGACCCTGAAACCCACAGTTATCCAAGGATAACAAGTAGTCTAGTGAACTTATCAATTTTATGTCTTTCACTTAGACCAATGTGATAGAGGCAGCACCTGACATGGAGAGAGAAAGTGAGAGAGAATGGTACTATGGCAACAAAGAGAAAGAAAGACTGGGACCTTTTAGTTACACTGAGGTAAATTTTAATACACATTTTTGTTTAACACAGGTAAATCTAATGCCTATTTTAACCTTATTTACACTGAGGTAAATATGTATTTTAACATATTAGTTATAACCTTTTATTTAGTTCACTATATCCATTTGCTTATTTGTTTGTGGGTTTTGGCAAATTTTGTTACTCAATTTTAACCCACTTCTCACACTGTGTTTACACTTATGACATGTATACTAGACTTGACCTATTTATATGTATACTTAACATGTTATGGGTATATGAAGTCACTGTGCACAAAACCACAACTATTTTCGTGTTCTGGATGAAGTTTTTGTCCAAATTTCTAGCACTCAGCTGATTGCAAAATGTAACTTAAAATAAATATACTTATCTTAAGTTTTTGAGTGCACACTTTTGAAATTTCTAACTTCTCTAAAAAAGTTATAATCACCTATTATTTCTTTAATTAAATCCCAAACATGTTTAAATGAAAACTTGTCTAATTAAAGGCATTACAATTTGCATGAAGGGATCCCACTTGTACTGACTATAAGGCAGATAACAAGTGATCATTATTTAGATTTAAAATGAGAAATAATTAATATTTTTTAAAAAGTGTCATAGGCCCACCTCTAAAATCTAGAAATACTTCTGTTCTTAATGATAGACTCGTCAATAGGAATGATAGACTCGTCAATAGGAATGATAGACTCGTCAATCGGATTTCAGTATAGTTATGACTGGAACTCATTATTTTTAATGCACTTGGCATTTACAGATTTCCAAAGAAATGAGACACTCCTCAGACATTATTCTTTCAAACAGTACAAGCTTTTCCTGTAGGATATAAATGAGCAACAAAGCAGTAGATCTATATGTTATAAGCCACTTTTCCTGTAGGATATAAATGAACAACAAAGCAGTAGATCTATATGTTATAAGCCACTTTTCCTGTAGGATATAAATGAGCAGCAACAAAGCAGTAGATCTATATGTTATAAGCCACTATGACTTTAAAAAGTGCAAATAAAAATAATTGTAGCAAAACATTCTTCTCTCCACTCAAGTAGTGAATGTTGTTTTTTTGTTTTAAGTCTATTTTTTTCTTTGGGTAACATTTGTTTAACTTTTTAATTTGAAAATTCTGAGAAAGTACATCAGAAAACTAAATGCTACTCTCGTTATAAATATCATAAAGTACATCAGAAAACTAAATGCTACTCTCGTTATAAATATCATAAAGTACATCAGAAAACTAAATGCTACTCTCGTTATAAATATCATAAAGTACATCAGAAAACTAAATGCTACTCTCGTTATAAATATCATAAAGTGACAGCAAGCTGGAGAAATGGCTACCGTGGGGGTGGGGTGGGGGTGGGGTGAGGCAATTGTACTGTGGATTGATGGTAGGGTAATAGCAGGTGGGTAATGTTGAATTCAGATTTTTTTGCACAATTACAATATTTCCTCTATACTCCGTATACGAGAAAATAAATATGAATAAATGAAAAGGGAGATAAAAGATGAGTTTGTTGTGGTCTATGTTTCTTAGATGAAAAACTTGTATGAAGAAGAGATAAGTTTGTTGTGGTCTATGTTTCTTAGATGAGAAACGTGTATGAAGAAGAGATAATTTTGTTGTGGTCTGTGTTTCTTAGATGAAAAACTTGTATGAAGAAGAGATAAGTTTGTTGTGGTCTATGTTTCTTAGATGAAAAACTTGTATGAAGAAGAGATAAGTTTGTTGTGGTCTATGTTTCTTAGATGAAAAACTTGTATGAAGAAGAGATAAGTTTGTTGTGGTCTATGTTTCTTAGATGAAAAACTTGTATGAAGAAGAGATAAGTTTGTTGTGGTCTATGTTTCTTAGATGAAAAACTTGTATGAAGAAGAGATAAGTTTGTTGTGGTCTATGTTTCTTAGATGAAAAACTTGTATGAAGAAGAGATGAGTTTGTTGTGGTCTATGTTTCTTAGATGAAAAACTTGTATGAAGAAGGAACTGTCCATGCAAAGACCAGATGCTGGGCTCAAGGAATGGATGGCTGGAAACCATTGCAGTCTGTCCCCCAACTCAAGTGGATGTTGCTAGCCAGCAGTCAGCCTGTCATGAATGAAACTGACATGGCCACACTTGTACTCAACATGCTCATCAAAATGACAGAATACTACCCTAGTCGGTCAGTGACCTCATGTGATTTCTCTCTCTCTCTCTCTCTCTCTCTCTCTCTCTCTCTCTCTACCTCTATGTGTACCTGATTTCTCTCTCTCTCTCTCTTCCTCTATGTCTACCTGATTTCTCTCTCTCCATCTAACTCAGCTAAGATAGAAGTCAGGTTGAAATCTAGCTTGACTTCGAAGTTTCTTCTTGTTGAATCTTTGAATGTACCTTGGCTTGTTTGTTTGACCAGTGACTCTGATGGTGCCATCATTCGTCCCTTGCCTAGGATCAAAAGGATCCTATCTGATGCCACTTGTCTGCCTCACATTGTGCAGGTAAGGGACATACACAGCAGTTGCTTTTTTTACAAACTTTTATTAAGCTGACAAACCTATCTGTGTCCTTAATGGGTGGTTGACATGTGTCTGTCATTAGGTGGGTGACATGTGTCTGTCATTAGGTGGGTGACATGTGTCTGTCATTAGGTGGTTGATGTGTGTCTGTCATTAGGTGGGTGATGATTGTCTGACATTGTGTGGGTAAGTATGTGACACATGTGTGTGTCAGTGTGTGGGTAGGTATGTGACATGTGTGTCAGTGTGTGGGTAGGTATGTGACACATGTCTGTCAGTGTGTGGGTAGGTATGTGACACATGTCTGTCAGTGTGTGGGTAGGTATGTGACATGTGTGTCAGTGTGTGGGTAGGTATGTGACAACATGTCTGTCAGTGTGTGGGTAGGTATGTGACACATGTCTGTCAGTGTTTGGGTAGGTATGTGACACATGTGTGTGTCAGTGTGTGGGTAGGTATGTGACATGTGTGTCAGTGTGTGGGTAGGTATGTGACATGTGTGTCAGTGTGTGGGTAGGTATGTGACACATGTCTGTCAGTGTGTGGGTAGGTATGTGACACATGTCTGTCAGTGTGTGGGTAGGTATGTGACATGTGTGTCAGTGTGTGGGTAGGTATGTGACACATGTGTGTGTCAGTGGGTAGGTATGTGACACATGTCTGTCAGTGTGTGGGTAGGTATGTGACACATGTCTGTCAGTGTGTGGGTAGGTATGTGACATGTGTGTCAGTGTGTGGGTAGGTATGTGACACATGTCTGTCAGTGTGTGGGTAGGTATGTGACATGTGTGTCAGTGTGTGGGTAGGTATGTGACACACGTGTGTGTCAGTGTGTGGGTAGGTATGTGACACATGTCTGTCAGTGTGTGGGTAGGTATGTGACACATGTCTGTCAGTGTGTGGGTAGGTATGTGACATGTGTGTCAGTGTGTGGGTAGGTATGTGACACATGTCTGTCAGTGTGTGGGTAGGTATGTGACATGTGTGTCAGTGTGTGGGTAGGTATGTGACACATGTCTGTCAGTGTGTGGGTAGGTATGTGACACATGTCTGTCAGTGTGTGGGTAGGTATGTGACATGTGTGTCAGTGTGTGGGTAGGTATGTGACACATGTCTGTCAGTGTGTGGGTAGGTATGTGACATGTGTGTCAGTGTGTGGGTAGGTATGTGACACATGTCTGTCAGTGTTTGGGTAGGTATGTGACACATGTGTGTGTCAGTGTGTGGGTAGGTATGTGACACATGTCTGTCAGTGTGTGGGTAGGTATGTGACACATGTGTGTGTCAGTGTGTGGGTAGGTATGTGACACATGTGTGTGTCAGTGTGTGGGTAGGTATGTGACAACATGTCTGTCGGTGTGTGGGTATGTGACACATGTGTGTGTCAGTGTGTGGGTAGGTATGTGACACATGTCTGTCAGTGTGTGGGTAGGTATGTGACACATGTGTGTGTCAGTGTGTGGGTAGGTATGTGACACATGTGTGTGTCAGTGTGTGGGTAGGTATGTGACACATGTCTGTCAGTGTGTGGGTAGGTATGTGACATGTGTGTCAGTGTGTGGGTAGGTATGTGACACATGTCTGTCAGTGTGTGGGTAGGTATGTGACATGTGTGTCAGTGTGTGGGTAGGTATGTGACACATGTGTGTGTCAGTGGGTAGGTATGTGACACATGTCTGTCAGTGTGTGGGTAGGTATGTGACACATGTCTGTCAGTGTGTGGGTAGGTATGTGACATGTGTGTCAGTGTGTGGGTAGGTATGTGACACATGTCTGTCAGTGTGTGGGTAGGTATGTGACATGTGTGTCAGTGTGTGGGTAGGTATGTGACACACGTGTGTGTCAGTGTGTGGGTAGGTATGTGACACATGTCTGTCAGTGTGTGGGTAGGTATGTGACACATGTCTGTCAGTGTGTGGGTAGGTATGTGACATGTGTGTCAGTGTGTGGGTAGGTATGTGACACATGTCTGTCAGTGTGTGGGTAGGTATGTGACACATGTCTGTCAGTGTGTGGGTAGGTATGTGACATGTGTGTCAGTGTGTGGGTAGGTATGTGACACATGTCTGTCAGTGTGTGGGTAGGTATGTGACATGTGTGTCAGTGTGTGGGTAGGTATGTGACACATGTCTGTCAGTGTTTGGGTAGGTATGTGACACATGTGTGTGTCAGTGTGTGGGTAGGTATGTGACACATGTCTGTCAGTGTGTGGGTAGGTATGTGACACATGTGTGTGTCAGTGTGTGGGTAGGTATGTGACACATGTGTGTGTCAGTGTGTGGGTAGGTATGTGACACATGTCTGTCAGTGTGTGGGTAGGTATGTGACATGTGTGTCAGTGTGTGGGTAGGTATGTGACACATGTCTGTCAGTGTGTGGGTAGGTATGTGACATGTGTGTCAGTGTGTGGGTAGGTATGTGACACATGTGTGTGTCAGTGTGTGGGTAGGTATGTGACATGTGTGTCAGTGTGTGGGTAGGTATGTGACATGTGTGTCAGTGTGTGGGTAGGTATGTGACACATGTCTGTCAATGTGTGGGTAGGTATGTGACACATGTCTGTCAGTGTGTGGGTAGGTATGTGACATGTGTGTCAGTGTGTGGGTAGGTATGTGACACATGTCTGTCAGTGTGTGGGTAGGTATGTGACACATGTGTCAGTGTGTGGGTAGGTATGTGACATGTGTGTCAGTGTGTGGGTAGGTATGTGACACATGTGTGTGTCAGTGGGTAGGTATGTGACACATGTGTCTGTCAGTGGGTAGGTATGTGACACATGTGTGTGTCAGTGGGTAGGTATGTGACACATGTGTCAGTGGGTAGGTATGTGACACATGTGTGTCAGTGGGTAGGTATGTGACACATGTGTGTCAGTGGGTAGGTATGTGACACATGTGTGTGTCAGTATGTGGGTAGGTATGTGACACATGTGTCTGTCAGTGTGTTGGTATGTGACACATGTGTGTCAGTGTGTTGGTATGTGACACATGTGTGTCAGTGTGTTGGTATGTGACACATGTGTCTGTCAGTGTGTTGGTATGTGACACATGTGTCTGTCAGTGTGTTGGTATGTGACACATGTGTGTCAGTGGGTAGGTATGTGACACATGTGTGTCAGTGTGTAGGTATGTGACACATGTGTCTGTCAGTGTGTTGGTATGTGACACATGTGTGTCAGTGGGTAGGTTATTTGATGCACATCTAGTGTGGCTTTTGTTTGTTGTCTGAATGAATCTGTGGGCATATGCTCAGTTTTTACTCTATTTTTTTACAAAGTAAGATCTGAAATTTTAAATACTTTTACCATTTTAAAACATGGAAGTATGTTTTAACCAGTAGAAAGGGGTTTGAAAACAATTTTGGTTGTCATGGAAACCCAAAAAACTATCAGCTATTTTGAATTTTTCAGTACTTTGAAATACCAAGAATTTTTTTTATACACCAATAGCAGTCAAATTTACACTGCTTTTATCATCTATTATATTCTTATTCTATCTCATTGTGTATATAACTGTACTATTATTCCTTCATTCCAAATGCTATGTTACTGCTTTGTCTTTACTACTCAATTCCTTTTTATTCATATGTTGTTATTATGATTAAACAAAAAAAAAAGGCCAATGTTTTTAAAGGCCTCCACACCTAGGGTTACCATTATAAAAAAAATGGAATAAATAAAATAAATTATATTTCAGTATATATTGAAAGATTTTTACAAAAATTTGTAATAGATCTGCTTGTCAGAATTCCCAAAAATTGCACACCTCTTAGCATACAAAACTTTAAATTTTTCATAATTTTTACCACAAAACTTCTTTTTTTTTTACATGTGTAACTAATATCAAAAATATGGTGGGTATCATTTAAGAACTGCAAAATGAGAACAACAGCAAAAAGTAATGAAAAAAGGGCCAAAAAAATACCATTTCTGTGTAAGCTGTAAAGCCAAGATGATTTCCAAGATGATGAAAATACAATTTAAAAAACTTTAGAAATCCAGCTTTCCAATGATTCCAAATACAACATGAAGGCGGATATTACATTTTTCGTAGAAAGCCTGCTAGAATGGAAAATAAAGATTATTTTAAATCAGGGGTCTCCAAACTTTTCTGTCCGAGGGCCGCATTAACTGTAAAATTTCAGTTCGGGGGCCAGTTTCTTCCAGGCATGTCTTTGATTTTTCTGGGCAAAGTTCCTAAGCCATCACCAACAAACGGTTTTTCCGTGGACAAAAAGATATCAGCGGACCGGATATGAGGACATCGCAGGCCGGATGCAGGCCGTAGTTTGGAGACCCCTGTTTTAAATTAATAGGGTCATAAAAATTGTATTTTAAACAAATTGTAATTTTCTTTTCATCATCAGTTATTATTTTCTTAATTTAAAAAATGGATAAAGTATCCAAAAAGTGCCAAAAAAATGGGATTTTGGTGATTATCTGCTGATGATATTCTCTTGAAAGCAGCACTTTTATAAAAGAAATATGTTGGGTTTTTTTTTTTTCATTTTTATCCATTTTTTTAATTATAATAAAAGATTATAGATTTTTTTTAATGAGTAGTATATTTCCTAGTCAGGGATAGAGAGTGTAGAAATAAACTTGATCTCTGTATAATAAATTTTGATGTTGTCCCCAGTTGTTGCTAACCTTTGACCCAGTCTTAGTGGAGAAGGTTGCAACTTTGTTGTTCCTGGTGATGCAAGATAATCCCGGCATCTCACGCCTCTACCTGTCAGGTGTCTTTTTCTTTATCATGATGTACACAGGCTCCAATGTCTTACCAGTGGCTCGCTTTCTCAAGTACACACACCTGAAACAGGCATTCAGATCAGAGGAGGTCAGTCTTATAGGGCTAGTAGCCAGCTGATGCTTGCTAGCTTGGTTGCTGGTTGATTGGTTGGTGTGTCAGTCAGTGCTTGGTTGATTGGTTGGTGGTTGATTGGTTGGTGTGTCAGTCAGTGCTTGGTTGATTGGTTGGTGTGTCAGTCAGTGCTTGGTTGATTGGTTGGTGTGTCAGAAACCAATTGCCTATTGTTTGTTCTCAATAAAGATATGAAGTCTTGGGTGTATTCAATGAGTTTTTTCTTTTTGAATTAGAACACGTCCTCAGACATCCTCTCCCGCAGTGTACTGGGCCCCATCCTACCTGAGGCCATGGTGTGTTACCTGGAGAACTACTCAGCTGAGAAATTTGCTCAAATTTTCCTTGGAGAGTTTGATACACCAGAGGCTATCTGGAATAATGAGATGAGGTAAGGGTTAATCCACATCAACATCTCCTAACTCACAATAACCAGAACCCCCACCCCCTCTCACCATTTGCTAAAATGATATGTGTGTGGGGTTTATCACCCCCCTCCCCCCTCCCCAGCAGCAGTCTTCTAATACCTCTGGTTTGTGTGGAGGCTATGTTTGTTAGTGTGGATGGTTTATCACCACCCCCTTCACCAACAGGATGGGGGTGGCCTAGCGCTAGAGAGCATGACTGCTAACCCGAAAGTCTCGAGTTCAAATCAGTAGAACATCCCTGAGTCCACCCAGCTCTAATGGGTTGCCTAACTCACATAAGGGTAAGTAAAGGCGGCTGGGCATAGTGCTGACCCTACTATCTCTTCATATGCAGAGGTCACAGAAACAGGTGAACTCTACTACACCTGCCCCGTAGACCATCAGGTTTGATAGGGAACTAACCCTATCCCCAACATCCCTCTTCTAATGCCTCTGGTTGGTGTGGGGGTTATGTTTGTTAGTGTGTAGGGTATATCACCACGCCCTTACCCCTCCCCAACATCCCTCTTCTAATGCCTCTGGTTGGTGTGGGGGTTATGTTTGTTAGTGTGTGGGGTATATCACCACCCCCTTACCCCTCCCAACATCTCTCTTGTAATGCCTCTGGTTGGTGTGGGGGTTATGTTTGTTAGTGTGGATGGTTGTTGTCACCATGTATTACAGTTTTGTTCATTCTATTCTTCAGGCGCATGATGGATGGTTGTTGTATTACAGTTTTGTTCATTCTATTCTTCAGGCGCATGATAGATGGTTGTTTTATTACAGTTTTGTTCATTCTATTCTTCAGGCGCATGATAGATGGTTGTTGTATTACAGTTTTGTTCATTCTATTCTTCAGGCGCATGATGGATGGTTGTTGTATTACAGTTTTGTTCATTCTATTCTTCAGGCGCATGATAGATGGTTGTTGTATTACAGTTTTGTTCATTCTATTCTTCAGGCGCATGATGGATGGTTGTTGTCACCATGTATTTCAGTTTTGTTCATTTTTTTCTTCAGGCGCATGATGATCGAGAAGATTGCATCTCACCTTGCAGATTTCTCTCCTCGACTACAAAGCAACACAAGAGCACTGTATCAGTATTGCCCCATTCCCTCCATCAACTACCCACAGCTAAGCAATGAACTGTTCTGTAATATTTACTATCTCAAGCATCTTTGTGACACAACACGTTTTCCTGACTGGCCAATCAAGGATCCTGTAAGTTGCTCTTATTACACTTATTACATTTGGAACATTGCTCAACTTATTCAGGCATTTCATTTTTTGTAAACCCTCTGGACAAAATCCTCCAAAACTTACTTTGTTAATTTCTTCATCATTGATACTGCAGATAATAAAATGTTTCCTTTTTAGATTCGTTTGTTGAAAGATATACTGGAGGCATGGAAGAAAGAGGTTGAGAAAAAACCCCCCACCATGTCATTAGATGAAGCATACAAAGTTCTGAACCTTTCTAAGGGCACAGGAGGGTGAGTTGATCACATCATATGTTGTCATAGTGTATGCTGGAGGGTGAGTTGATCATATGTTGTCATAGTGTATGCTGGATGGTGAGTTGGTCATATCACATGTTGTCATAGTGTATGCTGGAGGGTGAGTTGATCATATCACATGTTGTCATAGTGTATGCTGGAGGGTGAGTTGATCATATGTTGTCATAGTGTATGCAGGAGGGTGAGTTGATCACATGTTGTCATAGTGTATGCTGGAGGGTGAGTTGATCATATCATATGTTGTCATAGTGTATGCTGGAGGGTGAGTTGATCATATGTTGTCATAGTGTATGCTGGAGGGTGAGTTGATCATATCACATGTTGTCATAGTGTATGCTGGAGGGTGAGTTGATCATATGTTGTCATAGTGTATGCAGGAGGGTGAGTTGATCACATGTTGTCATAGTGTATGCTGGAGGGTGAGTTGATCATATCACATGTTGTCATAGTGTATGCTGGAGGGTGAGTTGATCATATCATATGTTGTCATAGTGTATGCTGGAGGGTGAGTTGATCATATGTTGTCATAGTGTATGCTGGAGGGTGAGTTGATCATATCACATGTTGTCATAGTGTATGCTGGAGGGTGAGTTGATCATATGTTGTCATAGTGTATGCTGGAGGGTGAGTTGATCACATGTTGTCATAGTGTATGCTGGAGGGTGAGTTGATCACATGTTGTCATAGTGTATGCTGGAGGGTGAGTTGATCACATGTCATAGTGTATGTTGGAGGGTGAGTTGATCATATGTTGTCATAGTGTATGCTGGAGGGTGAGTTGATCACATGTCATAGTGTATGTTGGAGGGTGAGTTGATCACATGTTGTCATAGTGTATGCTGGAGGGTGAGTTGATCACATGTTGTCATAGTGTATGCTGGAGGGTGAGTTGATCACATGTGGTCATAGTGTATGTTGGAGGGTGAGTTGATCACATGTTGTCATAGTGTATGCTGGAGGGTGAGTTGATCACATGTTGTCATAGTGTATGCAGGAGGGTGAGTTGATCACATGTTGTCATAGTGTATGCTGGAGGGTGAGTTGATCACATGTTGTCATAGTGTATGCTGGAGGGTGAGTTGATCACATGTTGTCATAGTGTATGCTGGAGGGTGAGTTGATCATATCACATGTTGTCATAGTGTATGTTGGAGGGTGAGTTGATCATATGTTGTCATAGTGTATGTTGGAGGGTGAGTTGATCATATGTTGTCATAGTGTATGCAGGAGGGTGAGTTGATCACATGTTGTCATAGTGTATGCTGGAGGGTGAGTTGATCACATGTTGTCATAGTGTATGCTGGAGGGTGAGTTGATCATATCACATGTTGTCATAGTGTATGTTGGAGGGTGAGTTGATCATATGTTGTCATAGTGTATGCTGGAGGGTGAGTTGATCACATGTTGTCATAGTGTATGCAGGAGGGTGAGTTGATCACATGTTGTCATAGTGTATGCTGGAGGGTGAGTTGATCACATGTTGTCATAGTGTATGCTGGAGGGTGAGTTGATCATATGTTGTCATAGTGTATGCTGGAGGGTGAGTTGATCACATGTTGTCATAGTGTATGCTGGAGGGTGAGTTGATCACATGTTGTCATAGTGTATGCAGGAGGGTGAGTTGATCACATGTTGTCATAGTGTATGTTGGAGGGTGAGTTGATCATATGTTGTCATAGTGTATGCAGGAGGGTGAGTTGATCACATGTTGTCATAGTGTATGCTGGAGGGTGAGTTGATCACATGTTGTCATAGTGTATGCTGGAGGGTGAGTTGATCATATCACATGTTGTCATAGTGTATGTTGGAGGGTGAGTTGATCATATGTTGTCATAGTGTATGCTGGAGGGTGAGTTGATCACATGTTGTCATAGTGTATGCAGGAGGGTGAGTTGATCACATGTTGTCATAGTGTATGCTGGAGGGTGAGTTGATCACATCACATGTTGTCATAGTGTATGTTGGAGGGTGAGTTGATCACATGTTGTCATAGTGTATGCTGGAGGGTGAGTTGATCATATCACATGTTGTCATAGTGTATGTTGGAGGGTGAGTTGATCATATGTTGTCATAGTGTATGCTGGAGGGTGAGTTGATCACATGTTGTCATAGTGTATGCAGGAGGGTGAGTTGATCACATGTTGTCATAGTGTATGCTGGAGGGTGAGTTGATCACATCACATGTTGTCATAGTGTATGCAGGAGGGTGAGTTGATCACATGTTGTCATAGTGTATGCTGGAGGGTGAGTTGATCACATCACATGTTGTCATAGTGTATGTTGGAGGGTGAGTTGATCATATGTTGTCATAGTGTATGCTGGATGGTGAGTTGGTCACATCACATGTTGTCATAGTGTATGCTGGAGGGTGAGTTGATCACATGTTGTCATAGTGTATGCTGGAGGGTGAGTTGATCACATGTTGTCATAGTGTATGCTGGAGGGTGAGTTGATCACATGTTGTCATAGTGTATGCAGGAGGGTGAGTTGATCATATGTTGTCATAGTGTATGCTGGAGGGTGAGTTGATCACATGTTGTCATAGTGTATGTTGGAGGGTGAGTTGATCATATCATATGTTGTCATAGTGTATGCTGGAGGGTGAGTTGATCACATGTTGTCATAGTGTATGTTGGAGGGTGAGTTGATTACATGTTGTCATAGTGTATGTTGGAGGGTGAGTTGATCACATGTTGTCATAGTGTATGCAGGAGGGTGAGTTGATCATATCACATGTTGTCATAGTGTATGCTGGAGGGTGAGTTGATCACATGTTGTCATAGTGTATGCAGGAGGGTGAGTTGATCACATGTTGTCATAGTGTATGCTGGAGGGTGAGTTGATCACATGTTGTCATAGTGTATGCAGGAGGGTGAGTTGATCATATGTTGTCATAGTGTATGCAGGAGGGTGAGTTGATCACATGTTGTCATAGTGTTTGCTGGAGGGTGAGTTGATCACATGTTGTCATAGTGTATGTTGGAGGGTGAGTTGATCATATGTTGTCATAGTGTATGTTGGAGGGTGAGTTGATCATATCATATGTTGTCATAGTGTATGCTGGAGGGTGAGTTGATCACATGTTGTCATAGTGTATGCAGGAGGGTGAGTTGATCATATCATATGTTGTCATAGTGTATGTTGGAGGGTGAGTTGATCACATGTTGTCATAGTGTATGCTGGAGGGTGAGTTGATCACATCACATGTTGTCATAGTGTATGTTGGAGGGTGAGTTGATCATATGTTGTCATAGTGTATGTTGGAGGGTGAGTTGATCATATGTTGTCATAGTGTATGTTGGAGGGTGAGTTGATCATATCATATGTTGTCATAGTGTATGCTGGAGGGTGAGTTGATCACATGTTGTCATAGTGTATGCTGGAGGGTGAGTTGATCACATGTTGTCATAGTGTATGTTGGAGGGTGAGTTGATCACATGTTGTCATAGTGTATGCTGGAGGGTGAGTTGATCACATGTTGTCATAGTGTATGCTGGAGGGTGAGTTGATCACATGTTGTCATAGTGTATGCTGGAGGGTGAGTTGATCATATCACATGTTGTCATAGTGTATGTTGGAGGGTGAGTTGATCATATGTTGTCATAGTGTATGTTGGAGGGTGAGTTGATCATATGTTGTCATAGTGTATGCAGGAGGGTGAGTTGATCACATGTTGTCATAGTGTATGCTGGAGGGTGAGTTGATCACATGTTGTCATAGTGTATGCAGGAGGGTGAGTTGATCACATGTTGTCATAGTGTATGCTGGAGGGTGAGTTGATCACATGTTGTCATAGTGTATGCTGGAGGGTGAGTTGATCACATGTTATCATAGTGTATGCTGGAGGGTGAGTTGATCATATGTTGTCATAGTGTATGTTGGAGGGTGAGTTGATCATATGTTGTCATAGTGTATGCAGGAGGGTGAGTTGATCACATGTTGTCATAGTGTATGCTGGAGGGTGAGTTGATCACATGTTGTCATAGTGTATGCTGGAGGGTGAGTTGATCATATGTTGTCATAGTGTATGTTGGAGGGTGAGTTGATCATATCATATGTTGTCATAGTGTATGCTGGAGGGTGAGTTGATCACATGTTGTCATAGTGTATGCAGGAGGGTGAGTTGATCATATGTTGTCATAGTGTATGCAGGAGGGTGAGTTGATCATATCATATGTTGTCATAGTGTATGTTGGAGGGTGAGTTGATCACATGTTGTCATAGTGTATGCTGGAGGGTGAGTTGATCACATCACATGTTGTCATAGTGTATGTTGGAGGGTGAGTTGATCATATGTTGTCATAGTGTATGCTGGAGGGTGAGTTAATCATATGTTGTCATAGTGTATGCTGGAGGGTGAGTTGATCACATGTTGTCATAGTGTATGTTGGAGGGTGAGTTGATCATATGTTGTCATAGTGTATGTTGGAGGGTGAGTTGATCATATCATATGTTGTCATAGTGTATGCTGGAGGGTGAGTTGATCACATGTTGTCATAGTGTATGCTGGAGGGTGAGTTGATCACATGTTGTCATAGTGTATGTTGGAGGGTGAGTTGATCACATGTTGTCATAGTGTATGCTGGAGGGTGAGTTGATCATATCACATGTTGTCATAGTGTATGTTGGAGGGTGAGTTGATCACATGTTGTCATAGTGTATGCTGGAGGGTGAGTTGATCATATCATATGTTGTCATAGTGTATGCTGGATGGTGAGTTGGTCACATCACATGTTGTCATAGTGTATGCTGGAGGGTGAGTTGATCATATCATATGTTGTCATAGTGTATGCTGGAGGGTGAGTTGATCACATGTTGTCATAGTGTATGTTGGAGGGTGAGTTGATCACATGTTGTCATAGTGTATGCTGGAGGGTGAGTTGATCATATGTTGTCATAGTGTATGCTGGAGGGTGAGTTGATCATATCACATGTTGTCATAGTGTATGTTGGAGGGTGAGTTGATCACATGTTGT